AATGGCCATCAACAATTATATATAATATATGTACATGTTTTTAGGGGATTTTACCTTAATATTTCCAGTATATTTATGTCACAGAGCATATATATGCCTGAACTAACTAAAACTCTTTTATATACAATACAATACAGAGAAAATATACACATGTATCAGAAAAAATTTCATATTGGTATTAAAATAGCTGTACAAGTAAGTTTTATCAAGACTAGTTTAAGAAAGCGCAGCCTAAGCGTATATTTGACTCACTTAAGCTCCGGAAATGATGAAGTTCCAAATGAAAATAGATGGTATTTTCGGTTTACAAAGAACCCCCTGAAAGTGGAGCACAAAGTGCAGCCCTCCATCACTCGCATTGCGACCTCCTGCCAACTCAATTTGGCCAACATTTTACCCCAAAATGCAACCTTTTCCACACCTCCAACCCAAATGGCCACTTCAAGCCGAAGTTGGCTCAAAAGCCATTACGCACCGCTGTGAGATTGTAATCTAAGCTCTCGTTATTGGAGCAGGCAGGGATTTAATTAGACAAATGTCCCACAATTTGTAATGCCATTTTTCTCGGCAGTTGCGGAAAATCCGAATGTAAAACTTTTGCGGTGTTGAAAATGCAAAAGGTGAGCGAAGAAGTGGCGGGGGGCGGGGCGGGGCGGGCAGATAACACCCGAAGTAAGAAAAGTAAGAAGGAAATATGTCTAATTTTGCACCATGTGGACAGTGGTCATTATTTTGGCCAGTGATGGGCGCAGGGGCGTTTCGCAGGGGGAGGGGGCTGGCTGCTTTGCAGGTACCACAAAATCTTCGTGCCAGGCCAGCTTCAATTGCGCCCTCTCTTTCTCGCCCCATTGCCCGTCTCTTTCTGCCGGCGAGTGTGTGTGTGAAACAGCATGCGGTCCCTGGACAAAAAATGAGATTTGCTGACCGGTGGTCATTAAAGCACATTTACAATGAGCCAAGCCATGTTGGCTTGTGGCTAACATGGTCTTAGCCAAACTTAGCCACCTCCCCCCAGCCCCTTTTCCCCTTCCCCCCACACCCCCTGCATTTCACACAGCCATGCAAAATGACCAGCGAGACAAGCGATCAAATCGATGCCGAAATTAATTTATCTTGGCACTGGCTACCAAAATTTGACAAATTGCAAATGTGTTTGAAATTGACTGCAGTCGCCGGGCCAAGCGATTGGGTTGGTTGAGTTTATCGAGGGGCTACGTTATAAATTGAACGTGCTGCTGGTACCAATAGTCAATAAAATGTACATTCGCCTTTTGCAATATCTGATCGTTTTTAATATGCTGTTTAATCACAGCGGAATTTACTATACAAGTTTATTGCAACGCTTGTTAGCATATTTTGAAATTGCAAACTTTAATATCCTTGGTAAGTATCTGAAGGAAGAAAGGCATCCTTCTAATGCTATAAAGTATATCTTTAAATCTAATCCATTCCTATGTCGGAAAAGTGAACTTCGGTGTTTGGAAAACTATGAAAGCTGAAGGGATGGGATTAGGTCAGTAACTTTGAGATATCCTGTATAGTTACAATAGTAAGTTGTAGTAACAAAAAGTGCTCCTGAGCGAGCTTTGGGATGGGTATTTGTGGGGGGTCTGAACATAATCCTACTCCCAAGCTAAATATTAATATTTCCATTACTCAAAGTGTGTTCCACTACAGCAGGGATTGTGTTACATTTTGGCTGACAAACCGAAGGGAGACCGAGCCAATTAATCTTATCAAGTGAACTTTGCAAGATTTCCCCGGCAATTGCCTAGGTTGAGCTCTAAGCAAACGCAACCCGATGGATCTGCCACTCCGCCCCAGAAAACCGCACCCAGCCGCTCATCCGCACTGTTGATTGCACTAATTGGCGATGAGCGTGACGATCGGACGATGGACATCGACTGCTGGACAACGATGGTGATGGCGATGCTGGTGAGGAGTGGAGGAGTGAGGGGTGAGGAGTGGAGGAGCTGGATGAGACAATGGGACAAGATTTTCATTCATAAAACACTCGCTGAGTGGACCGGAAGCGCTTATTTGATTGCGAATTGTGATAGGTTCCATGGCAGGGTAAACTGGGGCATATCAATATCTAAAAGTCATTTACTTTGAAGTGATCTTGTTAATATTTAAAGCCATCAATAGTACTTAAATGCTAATATGAACAAAAATAAGCGCACCTAGTAAGATATTTATGTATTCTACTTGAATCGAACCTAGAGTATACTTGCTTCCGGCTTCCTCAAGTATCAGTTGTTCCTATGCGCGTTGTGTCGCCCAAGTTCAGTAGTGTTAATTAAAGCAAAAGCCTTAATTATTGTTATTTGTTTGTTATTCCCGTCATAGGGGAAGTATTTCCGCCAGGAGCGGGCTAATGCGATGCCTTTCTGCGCACGGGATCGCATTTCCTTTGGCCCAGAGGTCAGGGTTCAAATGCAGGCAGAGATATGTAAATTCAGGGCGCTTGCGTGGAGCGATAAAAACAAATCGAAAAGCTAAGCGAATCCACTGCTAACCGATTTCCACTTCAATTTCGAGCCGGGTCATAAACATGCCGGCGTATTGGAGCAGTTCTGGCCACTCGGCAGTGGGCATGGGCATGGATGTGGGCATGGCTGTGGGAATGGAAATGGGAATGGGTCACGAGCCTGGCGGAGCAAGAGCAAACGCTTGTTAAAGGGCGGGTTCACAATTGTTGCCGTTTGGTTGGTTCGTGGCAAACCACAAAAACAAATCAGCCGGAGAGTGGAGTGTGGAGTGTGGAGCGCGGAGGCATCCCGGCAATTGGCAAATTCGATTTGCAATTTTTGCAGCAGCGCCGGAGGATTTCTTAAAGCTGCTGAGCTGCTGGGTTGAGCAAACAATTTAGAATGAAGTGCGATCGGGAGTCAGGAAAGTTGATTTGCAATTTCATGGCAGCGGCAATTTGCACCTCATCATCATCATTATATGCCGCCAGATATTCCGCCGGGTGATGATCTTTCAATCGTTCAATCAGGCGGCACAGCGCGGCGAGGCGAGGCACGTGCAGGTTGCAACCTGCCATGGGTAAGTGCTAACCCCTGACCGCTGACCGCTGACCCTGAATCCCTATCCCCCAAATAAAGCGGACAGCGATCCTCAGGATGTCCCACATATTTCTCGCTATCTGCCGACAGAAACAAACTATTCGTATCATTTTGGAATTTCGCCTGGCTGGAGCGGCTGGAGTAGCTGCAGCTGGGCAGAAACCAGGAAGTCAGCCTGCAACAAGTTGCCGCAGCAATGAGAAAAATTTCGCTAGATAAATAATGCATATCTCACGCACCAGCTTCGCGGACCAAAGTTGAGGTAAGGCCATGGTACACAGCGAGAAATGAGCTGCTGCCAATGACATGCCAGCTTGTGCAGCTTAAGTGTTAAAAGGTTAATATAAGTATTTCCTAAAAGTAAGCTATCTATTTGGATGACCGTGAAACATGCTACTTAAACACTGGAGCGCCAACTTTGGTGACATTTTTCGCGGTGCAGCTGGAGCCGCTGCCTTTGGCCGTTTAATGACGGCCTAGATCCGATGCCTGGCCATAATAAGCAATGGCCAACAATGAAATCTTTGGCTCCAGCCCAGGCCAATTTATGCGATGGCCAGCAGTCTGGCTCTCTGGCTTTCTGGCTGCTTTTTATTTGGCTCTGCTTGCAGTCAGCTCCCTTCTCGTGGCTGCGTGTTTCGATTTGGCGCGATTGCTGGTTTAATTTAAGCCCTGAGCCGAGCAGATTCATTAATGTTTGATTTTGGCTGCTTTTCTATTTGCTTCTTCCCAAGATCAAGCGAGATTTACGCCAAATTGCCTGTGCCCGAAGCCTGGCCGATGCACTCCGCCATCTCCCATCTACCATGCCCATTCCCATTCCCATTCCCACTGCCATTCCTCCACCGACTTTCTGTTTGGCCGCTCCTGATGCCGCCGTGATAGACAGTTAAGGCCAACTGCGAAATTGGTTCATTAAATGCAACTGTTTGCTTAGTGGCATCGAGGCACCCAGCTTTAGGATCAGGATTAGGATCACTGCTCCAGTTTTGGGGCTCCCACCAACATTTTTCTAAGCAGGTTTGCACAATATAGTTATTCATTATCTTGTCTTGCTGGGTTCTATGTTAGCTATATTTTGATATACTCCTCGCAGATAGCTACTAATTTCATCATCGTTGTACATTAAAGCAATCACTAAATAGTACTATATTCAAAATAGAACTTTGCCATATTTGTTGTAAGGCAATGGGACTATTGTTTTAAGATTGTTTTAAGCTGATAATTCAAATCGATCATATAAGATCGCATTGGAAAGGGATGATTGTTGGGCCAAGTTCCAAGTGAGAGCCCGCCGATCAAGCTGCCTGGTTAATTGGTGGTTATTGGTGGTCAGAACAACAATTTGCACCCACATACTATTAGTAATTCGATAATGGGCAGTAAATTTGGGAAACGGAGTGGGAAATTGTAGTGGACAAGTTTTCGGAGGAATCACGCGATGGGCTGACCGCACAAGAGTGCCGGAAATTTCCAGAGCAGGCGTAACATCTGCTCCGCTTATTAATACATTATTTATGGATTTCCAGACCCAAAACCAATGTGACTAAGCAACAATTAGGCATTTGTTAATGGCAATATGGCCAGAATCCAATTGGCCGCACTTTGTTATTGTTCGGTACAAACACAGGGTTCTCACTCACATTTACATAGCACCAAATGGTTACTCGATCCGTGCACTTTTCGCAACTCCTCACAGTTCACAGTTTAAGCTCATAGTTAAATAATATTTCTTTAATTTCCACTTGAAAGCGTTGCTATTTTTGTTTATTTTTGCACTAAGTGAGACCGTATACTGGTAAGCTCATAAGCACACCTGAAATACCGCAGGCGAAAAGATACCGAACAGCTGTTCACTGCACAGTGGTTTAAGGCATGTATATAGATGAACAAATATATTATTAGAGAAACTACAAATTTTCATATAAATATATTTTGAAAAGTGCCTTTATAATTGCATACAATTCTATAATTTGAATAATAGATTTGAAAGTAATAAATAACAACAGCTCCGTTACATTGCAAGGGACAAATACCGCTGAATAGATGGGTTAAAGCACTTCTACATAGCCTGCACCAGCATTAGAAGATCTTCCTTTAAGTAGTTCATATCCGTTTGCACGGGAGCGGGCACTTCATTTGCGCTAAACAGCAGCAGAGAGTTGGGAATGAGTCTGAAAAGAAGGAGCTCCTATAATAAGGCACTTAAAAACATGATGGCGGCACCCACTTGCAGTCGTACAGTGTCCTTTCGAGGTCCTCGTCGCATAGTTTGCCATCGCTGGTAACCACCAGGCTGAAGTCCAGGCTTTCATCGGCCAGGCAAGATTGCACAAACTCGAACACATCGGCTATTTTCTCGTACACATTGAAAGTGCCCTGGAAATGGATGATTCACCTCATTACACAAAATTACTGCAGATGACATCATCACGGAATGGCTTACTTGTATAAAGAGTCCATTGGGAAATTTAACCCTGATCAAAGCGTATCGATACATGCGCAAATTGCGCTGCTCCTCGCGCTCCCGCATTGCCTTCGTCCTCAGCATCTGCGACTGGGCAATGGCCTCGGAACGTAGTTGTTGCTCTTTCTTGATCTCCTCCGGCGCCAGGCGGTAGAATTCGTCGGGCAGGACAACACGACGTGCCTGCGACGGGAGTAGGACCTTGATGTTGCGATCCAACTCCAGGGGAATGGTTTCAGAGTTTTTGAGAGCTTCCACAAGCGTGGGCAAGTCGAGATCCTTTTCCGTCTGCTCCTTGGTCCACAGAAGGAAGGGCTCATCATCGATCTGAACCTCGGCGAAGCCGGCTGCTTGCAGGACATCCAAGGCACCCTCCACGTAGCGCACCTTCTCGCTGAATATTTTGTTGGACATCCGTATCTTGCAGAACTTCTCCTCCTCGGGATTCTTGATTAGATTCTCCAGATATCGGATTAGCGTGGCAATGCACTCGTCGGCCTTCTCCTTGACATTGCAGTTGTGGATGATCAGGCAGGCGGTGAGCCCGCGATCTGCCTCCAGCTGCTGATAGAGGAACTCTTTGATGCGGCCCTTCCACACGCTCTTGGGCAAAATCTCCTCGCTGATTAGGGGGCAGCGGAAGAAGACGCCTTCGCAGGCGAGGTTGCGAGTGTCGCCGCCGGAAGCCGATGTGGATGTGCTGGTGCTAGATGCCAGGCCCACTGCCTCCTCCTTCTGGCGACGCTCTGCCTCCAGCTCCCTTTTAGCCTGTGCCTTCACTGCCGACAGCGAGGTGTTAAATTCCCTGGATGTTTTCTTGTCGATGCGAGCCAGTGCCGCACTGGCAGCTGCCCTGGCCTCGTTACTTATTTCATTTCGCTTTGGTGGCACATAGGCCTCGTACTTTTGGCGGGAACTGGTTGAAGGAGTCTCCTGGTTAGGGGAATTCAGCTTGTGGCCGGTGCCCATGCTGCTGCCAGTCAACTTGAGCTGTAAATGAACTTTGTTAGTTGGGTATTTACAACATTTGGTCGGCTAAGAACCCACTTTAAAGGCCGCCGCCTCCGCCTTCTTCCGCGAAAAGAACTTCTTAATCTTAGACATGGTTTCTAGATGCGCGGCGAGTGCTCCTTGGGCAGCTTCAACTTGGCCACCGACAACTTAAGCTCCTCGATTTCCTTGAGCGTGCCTGCAATGCAATACATAATCTCTGTGTTAGCAAACTTAACGTAACATCCTGCTTTCTAGCAGATTCCTACTTGGCCTGACAAACTTCTCCGTGATGACCTGGCCGTAAACGGACCACGAGTAGCCGGCTAGTACGCAGGTGCCCAGCAGCAGGACGATGAGCACCTTCAGCAGCGTGGCCTGCAGATCGGTGAAGGCGATGGGTCCGTTTTCCCAGTGAAAATCTCCGGTCAGGGATTCCAGATTTCCGCGCAGATCGACAGCTGCCTTCAGTGCAACGCCAGCAAATTGCTCCACTTGTCGCGCAATCGACTGCAACGTTGAATTGAACGATTCCACGTAGAAATTAAAACTCATTGCCTGCTGGGTAAGTGCCAACGATCTTGTGTAAAACGCTTTTTCCGCAATCCTTTGTTTATATTCGCAGCATTATCCTAATTTTTTCTCCTTTTTTTACGCCTTTGCTGGTGTGCCCGTTGCTGGTCTGTGTGTAAATACCATTGGGCTTGGAAAAATACCAAATGAAAATGACCCAACAGCTTACTTATCGATAACAGTGCTTAGTTTTCCAGTGCTGGCTAATATCCAAATGTAGTGTTTTGGCGCCTGCTGGGAATTTAAATGGTTGTTTTCGAATGGGGAAACAATAATTTATGGATTGCCCTGCAGGTTCTGACCTCATTCGGCTTGCCTTGATTTCTGCACCCGCATCCTGTTGTTATTTTATGCACCTGCTGTTCAGTTCCTGCAGATTGGAATTGACCATCATTTAGGGAATGGAATATTCATAAATTGTATGTCAAATTTCAGTTGTTTAATTTATTTTTTAAATATTTTGTATGACTCTTAAGCAGAATAAAATGTATATAATAAATAACTTTCTATATATTTGTGTATATTTGTGGCCTTGAATTCTTTTAAGATAATTTCGAAAGCCTTTGCCCCTTTTCTACAGTGTGCTTACATCATGATATTTTGGGGAGCACACGCCCATTATTTATATGCAGGGCCAGCTGTCGTAATTGAATGATTTTCGATCGTTTCGCCAAGTGCTTTTGCTTCCTGCAATTTTCGGCAATCGCTTCCTTTCGGCCGTGAGCCCATTTTGCATCTTTTGCGATTGATTTTCGCTGGCATCCTTGAGCATGTTTTTGGGGCAAGTGAAGAACAGAGCGGCAGGAGGAGAATGGGGTCGCCTATCAGGGGGCGGGGTGGGGCACTGTGGGGCGGATCACGCTCCAGCGATGCGCTGCGGGTTCAACAGCCAGCCGAAAGTCGAGCGGAGGCCAAAGAGGAGAAATCTCTTGCAGCTTATGGCTTCCGTAGACGCCATGCCTCGCGCTCCACTGGCTATGTGGCTGTGGATGTGGATGCGGAGATGGCCCCCATCTCCGTCAGTTGCTTCTCTTTTGGGTTTTAGGTTTGTGGCTGCTGGCAGTCGCTGGCTTTCTGCAACTTCAATTACACCAGCAAGCAACACAGACACAAATGTCTATTCTATTCCGCTTTGCCTTCGCTGGCTTTATTTATGCTGGCTCATTTTTCTGTGGCGACTGTTAGGCAAAATGTCGACGACTTATAATTCGAGCAGCGTGTAAGATTTTCCTCCATCGACTTCGTTCTGCTCTGGTCCGTTGGTTTCTGTATCTGGGCTCCGTTTGCCAACGCAATCAGCAGTCTGGGCATTCGAGTCGAGTCGAGTCCAAGGCGTGGCTGCAGCCCATGCCCATGCCCATACCCATCGCCATTCCCATCTTCTTGCGAGACAAGATCACTCTGTCCCATGGCCATTATATCTATCACCATCACGCGATATGTTCTCACTTGCAACCAGGCTGCAACTAACCATCATTCAACGTCATTCCCAGCCATTCCCAATCCCATTCCATTCCAGCCCATCGCATCGCATCGCTTGCAATTGCAGTTGCAGTTGTTTTTCTTTCTTACTTTTTTTATTTTTTGCGCAATTAAAATTCCACAAATGCCCCGATGGGAGGGGGGCACTTGGAGGGGCTTCTGCGCACCCAGAGCCATCGAAAGGAATGCAAGAGTGGCGCGCATGCGCCGTCCTCCGGCGTCATTCGCATTGCAATTGTTGTTATCAGCCATGCGCCGAACCTGAAAAACTAGTTTCAATCGCCAGCTGAAGACGGCGAGTTGTGTGTGGCCAAGTCTGCGGAGGGGGGAGGAAAACTGGGTTCCTAGCAATGCAAGGGTATGCTGGAATCCAGGATAATATGAGGCAACTAAGACAAGACAGAGCATACAGCCAACACTTCCTTTTGAGCCATTTAACGCGAAGTAAATGGGAGTATTATATAGTTTTTAAGCTAAATATTGCAGCTTATATTGGCTATTCTATTAATATATTAAAGTTGTCCAAAATGAAGATTAGCTGGTGTTGATTTGTGTACAATTTCGATGCTTGTGCTCAGCCTTGCTGAGTTGGACTTTATGTAAAGTGAAAAGTGATTCGATGAATGTATCTGGCAGATACTTCACCTGTCGATCAGTCTGGCCCACCTGTACTCCTGCTGGCGTGCCTCTTGCACGAATTTCACGGTTGGGAAAGCCAGTAAAAGCAGCAAGCATTTGGCCAATGCCTCGGCTTTTCTTTTGTTTTCTCCACATGGCCAAAACTGGTTGTGCCAATTTATGGCCAACATAGCCGTGACTTTGTGCTCGCTGCGCGAAAGTCAAGGTAAGCGGCAAGAGGTAGCAGGCACTGGCACAAAGGGTTTCCTATCCCACTGGCTGTTGGTTTTCATTTTTAAATTTATTTCAATTCTTATCTCGAATTGATAGTGCCTTGATTGGGCAGCCGCTGGAGTTGCAGGAGGGGAATCTGGCTCGCTCATTAAAATTTATGCACAGGAAACGGAAGCGCCGCAGACGACGAGCAGACACAAAGTTGCTGCTTCTCTAGGCCTCCTGATGATGATGATGATGGTCCTCCTTGGTGGCTCCGTGCCTCAGCCACTCCCCACTACCCACTCCCCACCACACCGCCACGAAGTGCCACAATCTTTGGCTACGCAAGCGGCGTGACAAACAGGCAGAAAGTGTCATTCAAATTGGCCGCAAAATTGAAAGTGATGACACGCCCACACAGTCACGTTGCCTTGCATAAGCAATTTGGATGGGCAGTGCAGGGGAAGAGTGGTTCATGGGCTACACAAGGAGAAAAACATATTCTTTTCTCCTGCATACATTAGTTTCTTCAATGCTTCTCAGTTTCTGTAAGCACATGTTTCGTTCTCTACGTGTAAAGGGTGTTCTCATCTTGATTGCCGTTTGTAGAAGGAGCAAATCATGAATGGTGCATGGCATTAATTGTCGTATTCATGGCTGGCACTCGCATCTATTAGATGAATGCACTTGCTGCTGCGCGGAGGGCTGTGCCCCTCCAGCACCAACTTGGGAACCGAATCCCCTGGGTCCTCTGCACCTCTTCACACTTGACTTACTTGGGGCCACAAAGTTCGTTCCCATGAACTTCTTCTGGTGTTCTGCTCTCTATGCATAACGTTCTTCCACCCGTCCATCCATCCAGTTTAAGAAACCACGTATGTATCTCTCTTTGTGTGGGTTCTGCTGGCAATGACAGTTTCTTCGGCTGCCCTGAGACTTTTGTCTTTGGGCATTTCCCTCAAATAACCATTCACACACAGCTTTTCCAGCTCCCATGAGCGTGGGAGTGAGAATGCATGAGAAGCCCCAAAAAATGTAAAGAAACGAGGAAAACCAAGAAATCCAATCCGCTGAACTTCAAGTGCTCTTGGATTCGCTGAAACAAAAATAGTAATAACTCATCTAATGCGGCCGGAAGTCGCCAATGTGAGCGGCAAGAATTTGGCCCCCTGGAATTCGCCGGCTCAGTTTGATTCTTCTCCGTTGTATCTGAATTCTGAATCTACTAATTATCCATTTTTATGAAACTGCCTTTCCCGCTGGGGACCTCCTGAAGCTCTCAAATATCTCGAGACTTTCCACAAAGCGGGTATCGTAATTCAATGCCTTTTCCCTCTACAACTCCTAATGGTGTCCAATGCGTCGCCCAATTTGGGCTTGGAATACTTTATGGCATCCGATTCTCACCTGACTCACCCAGCTGCGTGGGTCGTAATGATGGGTTTTATGTATGCATTAGTTCGATAGGGGAATGGGGATCGTAAATTTGGTTGATGCCGATGCCCCAAAACATGTTTAGCATATTTTTCCTTGGTCCAGAACAAACAAACGAGGAAAGAACAACAAGTGGCTATCCCCCCAAAAACAAGCATTGTGTGTGGCTTCGAAAACTCTTTCCATAATTCTGTATTTTCAGCCTGTTGTTTCCCCATTTTTTTCTGTTGATTCACTTCATTTGTTTACCCCATGAACAGATGAAGTTTCGTGGGAAATATCGCGCCAGTGCAGGCAATGAACTAATTAAAAAATATAACATTGCTCTGGCGTTCTGGAGCTCGTTTCCATGCCTTGTTGTTGTGCAATTGAAAACCCATCCCAAGGAGCTTCCTGAGCCACTTGAAGATGGTATAAATGAAAGAGATTCGTTTTTTTTTTTTTCTTCTTTTTTTGGTTAAGTCATTTCCTTTACGAAACGAAATTCAATTAGGGCGCCGGGCCGGAAAAGCGGAAAAAGCATTTCGACAAATTGGCAACAGACAGAAGACTCAAAATGCCCGGTAGCCCGATAGCCCAATAGGTCCATGGATTACAATATATGTACATATGTCTATGATGAGGCCGTCGTCGTTCGGTTTCCGTCCCTGTCCACTTCCGTCCGCTTTTTATTGTTTTCGCACCTCGCCTTCCGTTCGCCTGGCAGCGGATATTCTACTTTACATAAGCGGTATTTCCTCAATTTTTCCCGGTCTTTATATGATTTACTTGATTCGACGTTTTGTTTTGGTCACCGCATTCGCCACCATTCGATTCATAGATAGATTCTGCAGATCGCTCATAGGAAATAGTCAATGGCCGCACTTGATCAGAACAAAAACGCTAACAGCCACGATCAAGAGCCGCAGTAAAAGCCATGAGTACTGCACTGGTGTTGGAAAACAGCGTTTAAAGCAGTGCCTCACAGTTATAGATAGTTATGCATACCAATCGCCTCCAGGGGCACGATGTCCTTGAGGACAGTTTGTGTTGGCGCCTCGTACAGCTTTTGGTACTCGTTTAGCAATATCCTCGACTTGAGACGCACTGGCTTCCGTGCGTTCTCCTCATCGTCCTCGTCCTCGTCATCCGTCAGATTGCCGTCTGCATCCATGGGCATCTGGCTGGCGTTCATGTGCTGGAGCAGATTCTCCTGCGATTTGAGTAGAATCTTACGGGCCTCCCGCTGCCTCTTCTCGTAGTCCAAAGGACGCAGAGTCTCGTCCACGGCGGAGACCAGGGCCTGTTCGATCACCAAACTCTGATCGCACTCCGGCTGAACGGAGTTCCGTGGCACTTTCGATATGCAGGTCATGTACAGCGAACTGGTCGATTGGTAGATCTTTACGGGTATGAAACTGAAGCGGAAGAAAGCCGCTGCAGTTCTGGGTTTTGAGAAATATTAGCCGAGCGTACCTTGTAAAAAAGCCATTGTTCGTCTGCATTGTGGATTTTACACTTGATAAATATCAATTTTTAAAACTAGTACTTCTGGCGTAAAAAAAAAATATGGAAAATGTTTTGTTTGATTGTAAAATCGTAGTGTGTTGACTTATTTCGCTTACTGCTATCGCATTATTCATTAGAACATGAAATCATTTTTAAATTACTGGCAACATAAAATAATCTTAGCAAGAGAATAAAAAGGAAATGTGTTCATATATGCCTTGATTTAAAACTTTCTTATCTGATCAGCGCAAATTCATGCAATGCGTATGTACACAAAAATTCCCTATGATTTTGGTTCAAAGTCTTCTCAGTGAGTCTAAACTCAAGAATGTGATTTATAATTAAACTCGTGTTAGGCTGTGATTTTATAATCACACTCGTGAGTTATAAGTAAATTAATTTGTGAATTTATATTTAAACTCGTGTGCTATAAGTACAATAATCTGTGATTTTACAATCAAACATGTGTACAACAATCAAAACAAGTGCAGTGCACCTAATTCGATAGACTTCTTGACCTGCCCAAAAAGTTGGGTTCTACTGGTTCTGCTGAATTGTAATTGGAGTTCAAGTTCCTGTGGTGCCCCTTCAGAGTGTTTGGATGCAACGGCGTCAGCTGGTGGACAAGGTTGTGGTCTGTGCCCCTGGCCGTGGCATGTGGCATGTGGCAGGTTGCGACATCTGTTGCCGTTGCTGCTGCGTGTGTTTTATGCTTGGGTTTCTGCTTTACAAGGTGGCCAGCGAGCAGGGCACTCGGGTCTGGCTCATTTGTCTCACTTCCTTTACCTTTAACTACATCCCGGATGCTCCCGAAAAACCAACAACCGAACTGCACCGAATGCAAACTTACAGAGCCCAGCGACAATGGGCCACATGGAGCGAAAAAAGCTGAAATAGCGGCGGCAGCAGGAAGAGCATCCAAATGTATCTGATTCTGTATCTGTATCTGTATCTGGGTATCTATGCGTCTGTGTATCTGCCCATTCATAGGAGGCACAAAAAGAAAAACCCAAATCAAATGAGCGGATGCACGGGCGGATGGAGCGCTTTGAATCTGTACGAGTGTATATATACATACGTACATCGCTCTCACTCGCCCACTCACGGATGTATCTTTGTATCTATCCGGGTTCTATTTGACTACCGATGCTGATTATCGTTATCCGTTATTGTTATTGTTATTGTTATTGTCATAATTGTTCCGCTGCGTTTTTTGCAACAGCTGAATTTTAAATGGGAAAATTTGGGTTGCATTTGCTGGGCGGCTTCCGCTTTTTCTTTGTCTTCTTTAATTTCCTGTATTTTGTTGGAATTATTTTAGTTTGTTTAAGCAACCAATTTCCCTTCAATACTCATTTAACTAACTTCTGTAGTAGCATTTTTCGTAACTTCTGTTTCCTCATCGCCCCACCCACACAATTCACACAGCCGAAAAAAGTCTTTGGAAAATAAACACTTTCTGGTGATCTATGCATGGCCAGGGCCTAAACAAATGTTGCCACTAACTTCTGGCCAACAATAACAATGAGTTTACTGCACTTGTCCCTGTGTGTGTGTGTTTGAAAGGGTGTGAGTGGTGTGGGGCTCCATCCCAAATTTCGACTTGGAGCATTTGTTGGGACTTAATGATGTGCTAATTGCTCGAGCGTATATTTCACTTGTCGATGTGAGTGCGTCTGCGGGAATCGTGAAAGACATAAACAGAACATTAACATTAAGTCCCAGAGTCGCTGCTCAAAAGGGCATTCAAGATTCGTGGAGAGGAATGCATGAATACTCGCCAGAAATGATATTAGATTATAGAACTCGTATGTATATTTAAGAAGTACGAGAAGTACCAAGAAGTACCTGCAATAATACACCAGCTTGTTCAGTTATAAAATTTCATTTTATATTTTCATCATATGCGAACTTAGTTAACTAATAGGACAGCATTATAACTTCGATCTCTTGTAGAATTACAAGTCACGCCACTCCCATCCAAATGAAGTGGGAAGTGGCCGCAATCTTTGACAACATTGAAATGCAGAATATTATCGCTAATACTTAGATGACGAGCAGAACTAACGACTAGGCATTATAGCTAGCTGAACTATAACTATAACTATAACTAAACTAAGCGAATCCTAGAGATATGTACAACCATAGAGAGGACTGCGTATCCGCGAGATATAGATATTCGAACAGCATGGCCCTATGACAGCAGCGCCATTGCCCGGGCCAGTCGCACCCGGAAGTCCCGGTAGAGCATCTTGCCGCCGACGGGAACGCGGCACAGGTACATGTCGAGGCTCATCAGGCACAAGGCCTTGCCGTTCATTGGGAATTTCTGGGGCAGCTCGGCCGTGACCTCCAATCCCTCGGACACGGCCATATTGATGAGCCACTTCCACACGTCCGCCCGCGTCCAGTCGCGCGGATCCAGCGGCAGACCATCGGAGCCCATGGGATGCAGCAGGCTGGTGGTGCCATCATCAGCGCTCATCAGTCGATTGTTGTTATCATCGGCGGAGGCGGAGGCGGAGCAGGAGGAGAGGGATGAGGAGGCGGAGGACGATGCTGGACTGATCAGGGTAACTCCGCCACGGCACTTGTCCAGCATTTGGTAGGGATGATGCAGGTGGCGCCTGGCGGACGTGCTGCCGCCACCACTGCCGCCCCACAGATCCTGACCCCCATTCACCTGGGTGAGGTCCAGAGGCGGCACTCGTCCGGCGTATTTGGGATAGCTCGATTCCACTTGCATGTCGCTTCCGTTCGCAATGTTTCGCCGCTGAAAGTGGAGTAAGAATGGCTGATTAATGGCTGTGATTCACTTTTTTGCGCGCGGGGCGAGGGTTAGTACAACGGAAATGCTTTCACAAGCTGGCAATTGTTTTAATCGCTACAACAGCAAGAAGCAACAACACAAGCACTTACTAATATAAGTAATAACACGCATACGCCGCTTTGTGTGCATCGCCAGTGTGATGACCCTCGCGCTTTTGCGATTACACGGTATATTGGTTAAGAGATTAAGGCGATTGGGCCTAAAGATAGCTGGTTACCTCTGCATATCTATGCCATGTATGAGGCTCTATAAAATCAGCTAATAAAATTACCTCTGCCTTTTGCTGTACTCCGAGCAAGGGTATCTGGCATTCGACTATCGGCTTCAGCACTTCCTCTTCGAATTAATATTTCGTTATTAAATCTGACCTTGCTGCCGGAATGGGCGGCGTCAGCGGATCGCGCGAAAGGAAGCGCTGAGTAATCATTACGGAGCGCTGGCTGTCATATCGATCGGCGGTCACATTTGAATGGGGCGGGGGAACAGAGGGGGCGGGGCCGGCGGTATCGGCGGAATCGGCATGTGGCTGACACAGAAACGCAGGCCAAGCTGCGATTGCGATTACAAACCAGAGTCAGAGATCAGGGGAATCCGGCCCGCGGAGGAAGGTGAGCGGGAGGCGGTGGTGAGGTCAAAACAGAGTGGAGCGGAAATAATTACCAGCCCAATTGGCAGCTGCGAATGTGGCGAGCAAAACAAAGAGCCATCGAAAAGGGGGTATTCAACAAAATAAATATATATGTACTTGTATAAAATACAAAACAGCTAGCGAGACATCCGCCGACGGATCATAAAAGGTGTCACTGCGAATGTGGGTAAGAATGGCAATGGCAATGGGAATGGGAATGGGTAGCCGGCGGAAGAGGAGCTTCGTCGCGATTCCAAGCTCGCCAAAAGGGAGCCTTAATAGTTTTCCGGAACGAACTCCCGGGAGCTTCCGTTGGAAGGAAGGAAGTGCGTAAGGAGTCGCAGTGGTTTTAATTACACAGCTCATTGCCGCAGCTCAAAGAAATTCCTACGAAATGTGACTCAGGCTGGGAAAGGGAAATAGGGTATATCTTTATCGACATTTCTGATGTGCGCTATATACGTGTTTTCAAAATCATTTCCTCTTGATTTTTCTGAGAATAAATGCTTACTTACTTCTTCAAACAAACACACATTCGGCGTTAAAAGCCCTGGAAATGTGTGAAAATGTATATATGGGTAATGCACCCATCGAATCCAAAGTTGGGATGGAAGTGATGGGCAAAGCAGCTATTTGAAAAATCTAGAAAAATCCAGACACTCCAGACACCATTAGGTGCAAATAACAAAGCCCTCGAAGAACCCCTGGTGGAGAATGACCCATAAGGAATCCCCAAGTCTGGCCGATCTTCAGGCGGTCCCCAGCAGGCGTGCTCAAATTACACTTTTAATCTAATTCAATCGAGGGAAAACTCAGCCCACCCATGAAGCATTGACATCCATTATAATACGATTTTAGCTGAATTACACATGAGCTGCAATTAGCATGTAATCCCTTTATGATAACCAAACTTGGTGATATGTTTTTCAATGTGCACTCACTTCCGCCAACGTTAGAAGCCAATAAAATACTTACTCCCACGCGCGGGAAAAGCGTGTGAAAAGCGGAAAAGTGGAAAAGCGGAGCGGCTTAGTCAGCAATTGTCAAACGGAGCTGTCTGCGAGGCTTCCGCTGACTGGAATGCACCTCCACCCATCCAAGTGGCGGCTCGAAGTGATTGATTCGTGTTGTCGGGGAGCAAACTATAGTATACCCTGTAGCATATGTGGCATACGGCATATGGCATTGACATTCAAGTTGATCGGTGGCTCGTGCGCAGCACGCGTTGTTTTTCACGCTTCGCTTTGTTTTCGGTGGATGGATGGATGGATGAATGGAAATGGGAAAAGGAAAAGGAAAGGGAAATGGTTTTCAGTTACTATTCGGTTGACAAAAGTCAATGGCAGGAAGTTGAGTCGTCGGTGCTGCGTTCGCACATCCGCTGCGCACAGGATGCACTCCCCCGAGTCCCTTTTTCAAGGAAAAGGGAACAGCGCGCCAAATACACTCGCACAAATAAATGAGGAAATGTGCGCCAGTTTTAATTGCATCCACGAAAGTGTTGAGTCCGTCTGCTCATGCTACTTAGTAGCAGCCACTAAGCCCACATGCACACACACACACACACACACAGAACTTTAAGTGTTCGAAAGACAAGGAAACGTAAAAAATCGTAATTTGAAGTTCGTAAAAATGACGCGTTTCCTGTCATTTGGCGAGCACTTTAAGTGCGTAATTTGCTATCCGCCAAATATATGTGATTCTCGGGTTGGGGCTTCGAGTGTGTATCTTGTCGGCTTCTGTTTTTGTCGGCGGGTGTGTTTATGCCCCACAATTTCCTCTTTCTCCAGGCTTCCCCTTTCATCTTTCAAGCGGCTTCCGCTCAGCGAAACAGATTCTTCTTTGTGGATCACAAATGGCATGCATTTTTGTGCGCGACACACAATAAATAATTTTCCAAAATTTCCAACATTTACTTACGTATATGTATGTAAGATTTTGTGTTTGAGAAATCGCGCTAATTGTCCTGACTAATGCAAATGTTTAGTTATTTCTCAAATAAACATTTATCTTCTATTAAAAGCCAGAGCCAGACAGTTCGAAATGTTCAAATAAAGCAAATAATCAGTCCGTTGTTTTGTTAATTTGCTGAAATGCACGTCGCGTTTTCTTGGCCAGCCGTCAAGGCAACAAACTCGCCCATTCATCGGAGTGCATCAGACGACAACAGATGATAATCTGCTAAATATTGTTAAAAATAAACATTTCTAGCTCGTCTAGCAGCGAACCGGATTCCGTTTGTGCACATGCTGCCACATCTCGCGGTTGTTGTTGTGACGCATGTTTGCTGATATTACAAATCATGTAACGCCATCGAGGCGAAGGCAGCGCAACTGCAGCGTCTGCCTGACGTCTGCTATCGCCGTCCCTGTCTGGCCCCAACAGCCCCATTCATCATTTCGCCGCACACTGAGAGAAATGCGCACTACGCCACTCAGAGTCAGATATCAAATGGAATCAAAGGCCATGCAATCTAATCTTATCTATGGAAATCGTTCTCTCTCTATATTTCTGAAGAAATTCTAGATGGGCGGATTACTTTTTCGCGCAGTGTGCGCCACTGTGGCCCCCAATGTGTGATGGACGGATGTGTGACGACTTTCGGTCTTGTTGTCGCCGATGCGTTTAAAAATATAAGTACCGTGCGGCCAAATGGCGCCAAATGCATCTCGAATCGCTATGAGTCTTGTCAACTGTGCAGCAGCGCAAGTGAATTAAAATTGAAACGAAATAAACGAAGAACGAAGAAAGTTGGCAGTTGGGGATTCATGTGTGTTCCGCGTTCACTGTTCACTCTGTTCACTCTATTCACGCCTCGCACGTGTCGGCGGGAAGTGAGCCATTGCAGTCGCTCCCCAACTCCACCCCCCAGCTCCAGCTCCACCCCAGCTCCACCTCCAGCTCCTCGCCCATGGGTCAGCAGGAAGTGGGTCCCCAGTAAGTGCTTATCAAAGTGAGTGGCGTAGTCAGAGGTTTGTCATTTCCCCCACGAAGAGCTACGGTGAGCTGAGTCAGCTGGAAATTAATTAGGCGGGCGAGGCCAGGTGCAGATCGTTCGGTCCTGCAGCTGCAAAGATTGCCCAGAACACACGGGGCATATGGGGCATACGGGGCATGCCACTGCTGCAACCCTCGACGCCCATACAACATACAACTCCGTATCCTTTGCGCATGCGCGCGCATTCAATACAAAGCAGCAGAGGAACAGAACGAACGAGAAACGGGTCAATAACTGGGAAACCACGAAACCATCCAGCCGAATGCATCTTTATCGACTTGGCCACAACATTTCGGTTTGCAGCTGCCGTCCTGGCATTTTAAGTGTCGCTTTGTGAGTGCACAGCACAAAATTGTATGGTATTATGGGATCAGTCGAGCTGGAACTGTATCTTTGGCCCAAAAGGTGTGTTTACAAATGTATCTAAGCGGCATCTTTCCCTTGCAGATGCCAGCCTAAGCTCAAGACATCTGTATATCCGTATTCAAAAAACTACGTGAACTTTCAATGTGGTACTACCGCTCGGCTTCAGTTTAGCTTAATTATGAAAACACAAGCTTGGAGGTCAATTAGCCAGAGTCACATCAAAACTGACAGACAACTTTTGTCGGTTTCGACTGCAAGACAGCTACATAGTAACTATAAAAGCCAAGTCAACTTAAACCTTCGGAATGCTTTTGAGTGTTAATGATGGCCGTAGAAAAAATGAAAACAGAATATGTAAACCGACTTACCTTGATCAGAAAAATGTTAATCCAACAATAGTTTGTCTTGCGAATCGTCGTCGAGGTTGAGTTGTTGGAAAATTCGTTTTTGGGTGTATTCAATTTTTCAGCCTTTATTATTTGTTTGGTTTCGGTTGGGTTGTAAGTATTTTTAAATGGTATTTGCTTCTGGAAACTGCACTTTGGCTCTCCCAATGGGGTTGTATCTCTCGGATACGTTTCGTTTCACAACTTTTGCAGCATATAACGTATTTTTCACGCTCTGAACTACTTTTCCTATTTCGCTATGGCTCGGGTTTTGAAAGTTTTTGGTCGCTACTGCAATTGGCTTCGTTTTTCACTTAACACGACTTGTAGTTGTGGCTATTGTTTTGGTTTTCTATTTCTTATTATTTCTTTTTTTTTTGGGTGGTAAATCCAGTTTGTCAGTTGCAATCGTCAGGCGTACTGCGAAACGTATCTTTGTATCTGGCAGATGAGTGAGTAATGCGCACTGCAAAATGTCCAGAAATGTATCTCTATCTGCGTTCTGCTCGCGCGCGCTCCACGTTTTCAACTGATTGCGATCGTGTTCGTGCATCGGTTTTAAACGTCAGCCCTCTGCTGACGTCGCTGTCGCTGCTGTCGGCGACGGCGAAAGAGAAGAGAACCAACGTTAAGCAATATCATTCAAAAGAGAAAAAAAGAGACTTTTATTTTCTTTTTCTCTTTTGATTTTGAAAAGAATTACATTTCGAATATTAAAATAGGTGCTCCTCTCTTAAGTCTTGAACCGCGACTTACATAATAATAAGATCGCATAAATAATCATTATAATTGTGACACATCATTTAATATTATTCGAAATGTGAAAAAAAAACTTCAGCCTTGGGACATTTTTAATATTTTTGAATTTTTACAACATCATACACCAGAAAACTTACAAAAAAAAATTAAAAAAAAATAGATATCTAAATTTAAATGCAATTTTTTAGGGAATTGCGCCAGAAACATTGAGAGGTATGCCACTTCAAAATCCGATTAAGATGAGTTGAAGATGGAGTTTAGAACTTCAGCCGTTACATACTTTTCAACGTCCCTTTAACGGGTATAAGAAAATCATCAAATCAAATAATTTTTCTATTACTTGTCATTGTTTTTATAAATTAAGAAACTCGCTTTTATAAATACATATATCATATCAAAGTCAGGAATCATATCAAAGTATAGTTTATTTTTGAATTCCTCGGGGTTTATGTATGGAAAAATGTAAATTTTTATCCGTGCATATACAGACCCGCATTTCAAACAGTCTTTCCTGCTTATTGAGTCAACAGCTAAGGTCAATGAAAAAAGGTTCTTGGGCTGCCAAACATGAGGAAATAAACTGATCCCCTGGCCTACAGAAATGTGGGTTAACTTTGGCTGCATGAGCATGAACTTTTTGTTCAAGGATTAAGGGATTTGAAAACAGACTTTATGGTATTTGTTTCCTTGTATATAGGGGTATTACTCGTAGGGAAACGAAAGATTCGTATACAGCCATAGAAAGGCAATCCACCGGGTTAATCCCGCCGTTCGAATGTTCTAAAAATCTTTTTGGAAGCTGTCATCGAGTATCCATTAGTTCTTTGTTTCGAAGTACTATAGGCTTAATACATCTGTTCGCAGTTGACACGAAAGTATTTAAAGAAGTAGTACAAATAGTATAGAAGCGTGATATAATTTGAAACAAAATTTAATAACAATTACTAATAGCATTCATACGGGCAACTATGATATAGTATCAAAACTAGCTTCGGGAAGTATATTCCGGTTTCTAATCGAAATTTTCTGTTTTATTATTTATTGTTCTTTATTATTCTCGGTTTTAGTGACTAGACCCGCCTTGGCACCTAATTTATCACCATTTTCATTAGCAATTTTTGAAGATTTATCATGACGATCATGCACTTGTGCATTCATTTATTCCATAAGTAACTGACTCATTAATTTCGTAGAACGTTCCTAATTATTCAGCCAGCATGGATCGCTGAGTAATTACAGGAAATCCCTTTCCTGCCGCGCACTAAAAAGCATTTCGATGTTTTGCGGCTGGCACGCATGCCAAGCGATTTCTGGATGCCTCTGGAGATCCTTTTTGGGGACTCGAATCGGAGTGGTATAGCATATGGCATGTATATACCTATATGTATATATACATATATGAATACTGTGGGTCAGCCATGTGCCAGGAGCTGTCAAGTGCGTGCTGGAATCCTTTTAACCATCACGCCAGGCGGGATCATGCCGCTGATCGAGTTACGCCAGCTTACTTGGAAATTTTGTGAGCAGTTGCAGTACCACGACCACGCCCACGGGCACGCGTACGCCCACAAAAGGTGAAGGTGCGGAGGTGCAGGATCGATCAGCTGCACTCGAGTTGCAGCGCAGATGCTGCAGCTCCGGTTTGAAGCGGTGTCCTGTTGCGATCTCAAGTGCATCTAATGGCTTGTTTATCAGCAGTTGTCGATCGCCGGGCAAATAAATTGAGTAGGTACCATTTTCCTTAATTGATTGCGGCGTCGCTCTAATCATTTCTAATTGCGATGCGAAGGACGCACGTAGATAAGCGCACACGGAGAAAAATGTGTTCCCCGAAACCAAGTCACTTAGACGGTTCTTTATATATATGGGTGGTTAAAAAGAAATTTGGGAACTGCTCTTGATCATATAGTATCTTAGTATAGTATCATACAGTATCTTCTATAGCAATATAAAAGTGATCTAACATATAAAAGTTACCTGTACACCCTTTCCTTGAACCTTTATTTATTTACTTCATAATCCTGCATGGAGTTTTTCTTAGTGCACCTACACTTAATCCCCGGCCCATCCTGTCCACATACGAACCCAAGCCAAAACAGCTGCCTTGCATCCAATTGCAACGTTTTTCCCTATTGTCTGGCCAGGAATCGGAATTTGAATCTACGCATTAGGGACGGGTATCTCGAAGGCGATAAGAATCGCCTTGGACACAGGATGTGCAATGAGAGTTGCCAAAATATATGCGTATACATATGTGTATGTATATATGGCCGTGGAAGGAGAGACCCGAAAAGGATGTTTACTTAGGCGCACGTACGTGACGCAGTGAGGCAATTCTGTGTGTCCGGCTGATAATTGCCCAAAGGAATGCCTGGATATTTGCTTAGCTTTGTTGATTTTCAATTACGTGCCCGGGTCCGGATTGTGTTTGCGCATAAATTGCCGGCAAAGGAAGTTAAATCCTCCACACGATCGGGCACGATGGTTGATTTACACTCATGTACATGTACCTACATCTGGCAGCTGTGTGGGGATGAAGATCGGGAACTGGGGATGGGAACTGGGCTTGGGAATGGGGGCGTGTGCCGTGGAAATATATGAATTCCCAAAAATATCCAACCAAACAATATTCGGGGTGTCGCCAGCTATTTATAGAGCACAACCAACCCCGAACTAAACGATTTACGAGCCACATACACATGTATATAGTTTCGAAAATTTCCCTAGCTCCATCCAGGCATCCACAGTCATTAAAGGTCTACGAAAATACACAGAAAGTACATAGATGCAACGAGTGTCGGAGTAGGATGATAATGTTAACGATCTCGCCGAGGGGATTCCCCGCCGTAGAACTAATCCCAAACAGCCTCCAGTTCGTGCTCGGCGTTTTATTGGCACTTTCGCCAGACTATAAATCAATAAACAGATTGTGTGGCATCTTCCGTCATAAAGTTTTCAGCGTTTTCCTTCGGAGAATTTCGACGGAGGCGTAGCAGCTGCTGTCGTGTTTTCCCCCGCTTTCCTCGCTTTTTCCTGGTTTTTCTCAAGTTTCCAACTGAAATCTTATTACGAAAACGTTCGTATCAATCAGAAGAATAATAATAAAAGCAAATCAAGTAACCGTAAACAAGAAAAAAGCTGGAAAAATAAGACGCGCTCGTAAAGAAACTGGCAGACACAAACATGGCAACGAAAGGCCACACAGTCGGCAAGGGATTATGCACTTAAAGAAATATTGTCTGTAGCTAGAAAAAAAGTTATTTCAAATCTTCATCTTCATCTATTCATCTACAAGTAAGCATGTCTTTTTAAAGATTATATTTATTATAGGAAATTAGATAGTATGTCCTAAAGAAAAATATTCAATACTTTTCTACTTTTACTACTAAATTAAATTTCTTGACTTATCCGTGTTCTTGTACAACTCTGTTAGTTTAATTATAGGAGCTGAAATATCTGATTTGATCTCGCAAATGATTTATCTCAAGTGTAGCTGAGATTCCAAGATTCCATCTGATGGGTATATCACCGGGAGCTGGGAAACTGGGCACAGAATACCGGAGACAATAGGGCAACAAGCCGCAGCCACAGCCGAAAGCGACTTCCGCTTTCGTTTCATAAATTCGGATTAAGGCATTTTCAAATGATAACAATGAAAGTAAATAAAGAGAACGGCGGTGAAGAAATGCTCCGTGAATCTGATTAACGGCAACAACACCATTGTCCACAATGGGAACTTACAAAACGTGTCACGTAAATGGTTTGTGGTCCAACCCACCGGGCAATAAACCAACGAAAACCCACAACAACATGCCCCAGAACAATCGCAGTGCACGCATAGAACGCAGATAAATAGCAGAAAAGTGGTGTGGAAAGCTCTGCGGATTGTCTCCGAAGGGAAATCCCTAATGAGGCGGAGGTTCTTTGTTAGTTAAACCACTTACACAGATACAATCCGATCACGATTGTGGGCGGATTGCCTCCAGGGGAAGTAGGATGTCTTTATGGAGGTAGGGAAGTGATTATGGGCTTAGGGAAGTACTTAGCAGCGGAAAAAGAGGGAGAGCTAACTATCAACTTGAAACTAACTAGTAGTATCTTTAAGATACTATCTTCATGTGCATATATCACTTTAGCACTAATTTTGTATTTATAATTATAAGAATGCATTAATAAGAGAGATGTTTATGACTCGATCAATTGAAAACGAGCTAACGGATTGCGTTTGGCGCAGACAGGCAGAACAATGGGCAGATACAGATGCAGATACAGATACCAATCGACAACTCATGGATACGTGCATCCGCTGAATGAATGGCTCGGCGCATTTGCCAAATAGTTGAGCCTAGACAATTGCATTTCCTGCCCAAGTGCCTGCTGGCCCGCATCCCGAATCCCGCATCCCGTTGCCGTTCGCCAAACAACACATGGGATTAGGTCCGCCTCCTGCAGGAGCTCACAGCTCACAACTCAGAAGGACTCAGGATTCATCTGTTGCTCGAGGTCGTGAGTGCGGGGCACAAATGAAGGCTACTCCTGAGCGGAAACGGGAATCGAGCTGGGAAGGCGCGTACCCTGTACACAAAACAGGAGCAGGGGTAAAAAAAAGAAGGACGTGAAACGCAGGGAATTGTAAAAACAAATGTTGTCAAACAACAATAACAAGGAAAAGGATGTCCTGCTGAGCGGAGAAAAGTGCGTAGAATGCTGTGCGTTGCAATTAACATTTATACACTGAGCTTCAAACACCGAACATGTTTACAAATATTTTCTGCTTCCTACCAAATAACAAAGATATTAAAAAATTGATCTCTAAGGACTAAGAGTAGATTAAATAATATTATTGGGAATGTTTCAAGCTCGATTTTCAATTTGAAAAATTATTATTAGTTACTTTAACTTTCTTATTTATTTTCTTTTAATTCCGGTGCTCGATTTTCTCCCGAGTGTAGCCATCCCGCCATCCGCTCCGCAGGACATGTGGCAAGTAAAACGCAGCAGGGAAGCCAAATTAGTTTCTCATTCCGAGGCAGTGTGAAATGCAGTGCAGGAAGCTGCTGCAGCAGGCTCAATTTGGTTCCGAGCCCATTGTGCGTTCACGTTTCGCCCAGGTACGGATGGAAAACTCCCAAAATATTGCCGGTGATTAGTGACTTTTGGTCGGTGGCGATGAGGAAACGCCTGTGGCGTTAATTGTTTGTCCCGGCTCAGTGCTGGCCACCGCTTTTGATTTGCGCCGCTCAAAGCGGTTAATCTGGGCCACAGGAAGCGGAAACGGCAGTGCCAACGGAAGACGGAAGCCGGAAGATCCGCAAGATCCGGAAATTAGTTGGAAATTCGCTGGACTGTTGCAAACGAGGCAAGCAGACAAGTAAACAGATTAATGCAGATGTGAGCAGGAGAAGACAAAGGGTAAAGACACCAAAGATAGTTGGAAAACATTGATTTAGTTGTAGTTTAGCACTAGCCGGTTTATTGCACTTGGAAAATAGGGCGGCGGCGAAAGGAAATACTTGGGAATTTGGGAAAGAAAACTATAAGCCACTACGCGCCTGGGCGAACGTATGCACTGTATGGATCGAAGGATGCCCTCTAGCTCCTTCGATGCCCAACAATGCATATATTTCGGCGACGCGCTCCGGAGCTCAGAGCCACTTCTTAACGGGTGCTCGGCAGTCTGGGCTGCTGCACTTCTTGCAGCAGGGAAAGCTGGGCAGATCCTTGGCATCGGCCTTGGCCAAGTACGGTTTCTGGTGCAGCGTTACGCCGGCGGCGGTGCGAACGATTCTCCGCCGGAAGTTGGTGCCCGCCAGCAGGTAATTCACGGGAAACTGCAGCATTCCGGGTCGATAGTGGGCAATGGGACTGAGTCCCAGGAGGGCGTTCTTAGCAAAGCCGCTGCCTCCAGCATTTCGATTGCCTGCCGGGCAATCGGTGGCATCCACCTCCTGCCACTGGCGACCCTCACCCCGGTTGCACTGCTGGCAACGAGTGTGCCGCTGATGGGATCGCTGTCCCTTACCCGATCCCTTTCTGCGGCTGCGGCCATCTCCACCTCCTGATTTGGAGCAGGGACCGCGGCATCTGGACTTGCAACCTTTTCCACAATCATGCGGCTTTCGCGAACAAATCCCATTGCAATTGTGCTTGCAGCGATGTTCCTCGCAGTTGGGCAGGAAAAATGAAGGCGTCTTGTGGGATCCTGAACTTTCTGCATCGCGGCTGGAAACGTTTTGGACTGATCCCAAATGCTTCACAGCTTTGCCCCCGGAACCTTGGTTGGAAATCGTCTTGGTACTTTGGTTGGACTGCGAGCTAATTTTCCCCTTGCTGCCCTTCTTTTCAGTTCTCAATTGGCTTTCCTTGTGGGTCTTTGTAGTGTCCTTCGCTGGCGAATTGCCGCCGTGCTCTGGACTTTCCTGCTTGGACTTTGGTGGACTCTTTTCGACGGGCTCCGGACTCATACTTTTCCTAGCCTTCTTTTTCTTCGCCTTAGTCCTTAGATCTGCACTTTTCGAATTCTCATTCTTATGGCTCGGCTCTTGGTTATTCATCTTGTCCTCCTTGGTACTATTACGGCCGATGAAGATCTCCAGTGCCTGGGCAATAAGCAGAGCCAGCTTGTCCTTGGTTTCGAAGGCCTTGCGGCAAAACTGACAGTTGCATGTGCAACTCTGGGCCTGGCCATAATCGAATGACTGGTTTCTAGTTTGATTGGTGTAGTCGGGGCTTGAGGCTTCTGATTTCTGGTTGATACTGTGCTTGGAGGGATAATCGAAGCTGTAGCTTGATGCGTAGTTCTGAAACCCCTTCTCCTCATAGCCTAGAAAATATGTTCCACTTTAGGTATGGTATAGCAAACGATACATCAACTTACCATCCCTTTGGTAGTAGGAATCCCGGCGCGAAGCACCCATATCATATCCGTAGTCGTATCGATCGTCCCTTTCCGGCTCGTAGCCATATTCCTTGCGGTTCGGATCCACGTACTCGTAGTCTATATAGCCAGCCAGTGGGTTACTCTGATAGTTGTTGGGATAGTTGTTGGGATAGAGGTTATTTTCAGAACGATGCGCTTCCATGGGCATATGCACTTGACCGCCACCGCGGCTTATAGCCGCAGTTAACTGGTCGATCAGCGATTGGTTGTTGCAATCCTGCAGCACAATTATGTTGAAGGGTTGATCCCCCAGCGGCTGCTGACCGTCATATGGATTTCCACTTAGCTGCTGCCACTGACCAGTTGACTGCTGCTCAAATGGATTCCTACTGAACTGTTGCCACTGACCAGTTGACTGAGGTCCTGGCTGGGAGTGCGCTTGATCCTGCTGATAAGGACATGGTTGCCCCGCTATGGGCTGACATTGTCCGTGGCACTGCACATGGTAATTATCCACGGCGGCCTGGATCTTCTCATTGCACTGCGCACACATGCTCTGACCTGGCTGACGAATCTCCTCCCGCCCGCAAAACTGGCAAATGGGGCAGTTGCCGCCCAATCGACGCTGCGAGGCAGGGTCGAGTAGGGACCTTGATGGTGTCGCCGCCTCTGGAATGCTCTCCTGGGAAAGCGATGGCGACAGGTCGCACTGACCTGTGCAATCACTTCCTCTTCTTCGACACTTGCAATTCCAGTTGCAGGGCTGCACCTTGTAGTCCTGACAGCGATCGCAGTTTTTCAGCACGTACATATTCTCTGGCACATTCAGGCTGCCAGGACAGGATCTTTGGGGAGCAGGACGTGGTTTTGCACCCACTTCGGCCTGACTACCTCGGGACTGGTCGGCTTGGCTACCCTGACCCGCATCTTTTCGCTGCTGTTCTGAGCTTCGGAAGTGGCCCATAATTTTGTTTTTGACGAAATGTTTCATTTTTATAAGAACTTCTATTCGGACATCAGACTCTAGGCCTATGTACTGGCCTCCATTGTTTCGGCAGGCTGATCCTTGGAAGCAGCACGCTTCTTCCTGCGGCCAAAGATCTGGCGCCAGCTCCAGGCTCCCGAATCGTTGTTACCCTTTACGAAGGCGTCTCCAAATACCCAGGCCTGCAGCTGACTTAGTCTCGTAAACTTTACGGGTATACCCATTCCTGGAATTTTTGGCGGCTTCGGCTCCCCGCGCTGGTGAATGGGACTCAGGCGGCTCTGAGGTGAATCCCTTGAGCGACGTACTCTAAGGAAACTGCCTCTGTAGAAGGGATTCAACTCGGTGCCCAAATAGGAGGCTCCACGTCGCACGGGCTCGTTGATATCCGCATCCATTGAAGCGGGTGCTACTAAAGATGCTGGTATCTCGGGCGGTTCAGGCCTGGATCTAGTGGGTGCTGGTGGTTCTGTTCTATTCGATGGTCCTGGTTCTGATTGAGATCTATAGGAATGGGCATGTTCCTGGGGATGCGAAGCACCTCTGGCAGAACTATGGATCTCTATGACGGGCAGTGCAGCCCTTGGCCTTTGCTGGGAAGGATTCGGGTCCCGTTTCTCCGACTTCTGCACCAGGTTCGCAGAAGGAGAACGCATTTTAAATGGTGGTGGAGCCGCTGGTCGCTCACGTTGCTGGCCAGAAGTTGATGGAATAGTTCGACCTTGGTCTACATAGGAGTGACCTGCTCTGCTCGGACTCCGCACATGTCCTGTTGGCTGGTATACTGGATGACTGGGCATATTTTGAGGTGGGGAAGCGGCTTGTCTGACACCTTCGAAAGCAAAAAAAGAAAGAACTTCGCGTTAAAGAGGATGTGTAAGTGCCGCGATCGAACTAACCCTGTCTGTGACTTGACATCCGCGATGGCGCCACTGGATTAACCCCAGTCATCGCCGCCTTGGCCCTTCTCTTCAAACTGGTCGCAATTGTGCCCGTCATGTAGTGAGAGTTCCGACCTCCCTGGCAGCGCTTCTTGCAGCAAATGGTCAACTCGTATCTGGTCTTGGGCAACTTCCTGGGTCGACATCTTCCCAAAGTCCTGTAGATAATGCGGTTGCCCTTTGGGAGGAAACCATACAAAATTAGCTGTCTGTCTGGTGTTTATAGCGCAGCTGTTATGAAATGGTGCCATATAAAAATCCATTTGTGGAAGAATATCTTTGAACTACACTTCAATTATCTTACGCTGGCAACGTCCGGAATGGAAATATTCGGCATCATGGGTAGCAATCCGCACATGGGACAGCATTTTTGGGCCACCGATGCAGCGCACCTCTTGGCCGAAGAAGTTTGCTTCTTTTGGGCCAGAACCTTGTGGCATTTCGGGCAGAGTTTTCGGCAGGACGCACATCTACCATTCTCTGGGCAATTGAAGCGATAGCTTTTCACAGGCTTTTCCATCAGGGTTTCGTTGGAGCAGATGGGCGGTTCCTTGCAGGAGCGACTGCGATTTTCCGGTTTGGCTCGCTTACAACTGGGCGATCGTGCTCTCTGCTGGGCAGGACATTCCTCACTGCAGCTTTCGCAGGCAGGTACTCCATTGTCATCATAGTCGCAACGAGACTGAACCAGCGGATTCCTGAGTACCTCCGTACGGGAACGACTGTGCTCCACGTAGTCGGCGGCATCGCTTTCCTCGTCGGTACAGCGATTGCAGGCACTACATTTCCTTGGTTTGACTTTTGGACAACTGGTTGGCTTGGCTTTGGGTGTGGGTTTCCTGGAAACCGGTTGCGGTGCAGCGGCAGGAGATTTCCGCCTTGGGACAGGTGGAGGTGGCGGTCCTTGTATGTGCGAGCGAGCATGGCAGCGAACGGCACAAGTTTGAGCTGCTGGCGTTGGTTTCCTCAGGTAATAGCTTTTGTCCGGGCTACTCTTCCTATGCACTGGCGGTCTTTTGGGTGAACGCTCCTCCTCACAGCTGCAGTCGGAAAGTGACGCCTTCATTCGCTTGCTCCTCTGAACCCGCTGAGCTCCGTTTTCCTCAGACTCACAGCTGCATTCAGAGAGCTGCTTTTGCAAGCGTTTAGTTTTCTGCACCGGTTTTCGTTCTGGCATTGGTTCAGGATGCCCACAACTGCAATCGGAGGACTTTTTGGGCAGGCGACTCTGCCTTCGCTGAGACTCTGGAGGATATTCGCCATACTGCTGTTTTTCTACGGCAGAATTCCTGGGACTGTGCTGAAACTCCCTGTATTCCATATAATGCGAGGAGGGCGTCCTGTACGCTCTCCTGCCCGATGGTTGGTCGCATCCACACTCGCTTCCATGTCGATCCTTTGGCTGGGACTGGGAGCGCGCATGGTGCTCATAGCAATGGCGACATGGTGCTCCATGGCTTTGCTGGGCTGCGCCATGGTTTCTATTGTCGTAATAACTCGACTGATTCTGTGCAGGCTCTGAACGCTGATTCTGATTAATCTGATTCTGATTATAATATTGATGGGCTGGCTGCGGGCAGTTGTTTTGCGTCTGATAATTGCCCCGATAAGGACAATTGGGATGGCACTCTTCATCCTCCGGAATATGGCCACTCCTCACGACCAACGGGTTGCGCAGTAAATTGGGTTGCTGATAGTAGTCGCAATCCCCGCCAGAAACCCTCTTTCTCCGCTCCGAATGAAGGGTTAGACCGACAAAATGGGATCCGAAGCCTGCGAAGGATGCGCTTTCCTTGAGCTCCAGATCCCTGGGTATTTCATTGTTGTCGGTGCTCGAGCTTAAGCCACTAGTTGCGTTTTCGATGGCCAAGTATTGCCCAGACCGTTGAGCCATTTTCCTCTGAAACCTGCAGTTCAAACATCCGTCGTACTAATGGTTTTATGGATATAATTTAATTTAGAGATATTTCTTATGCGGGAAGTGTGTGTAACAAAACTTGGGTGAACGCCAACATTTTTGGTGTGTGGGTATGACTTAAAAATCACAGTTGACCTTTTCAGCCGAAAGCAGTCTTTTATTGTAGCAGTAATAATATCTCGGTTCAAAGACGAAAACCAAAGGTCAGCTTTGTCATCATCGCATAACTTTGGGCTAACAAAGCTGCACTTTGGTGCTCCTCGTTGATCCGAGTTGGTCTGTCGGTTAACAAAACAAGCTTTAGCTGTTCTATATCTCCGCGGAGGTTCGGTTGGCTCCTGATAGGCTCAGCATGCGACTATATGCCTTGTTCAGAGCTTTGGCGGTCATCGGAAGGTCCTGCCACAAGCGCCAGCTGCGCTTCTCGTCGAGAGTTGCTCTCAAGGACCTCTGACTGCGCTTGCCCACAAGCGGCTTGGCTGCGGAGTGGGATCGAGCATGGGATCGAGTTGGATTCCGGGTACGACTGGAGCGACCTGGTGGCTTGGAGTAATCTGGCTTGGGCCAATGCAGTGGCCTTCTCATTGGCAACTGAGTCTGCGTACTGGGATACGGAATGGCAAGTTCACGCAGGCGGGGATTCAGCCTCTTCCTCGTCCGTTTACGGCGAACGAGCCTAAGGTTGGTGAGAGGATTGAGTATGATATGGTGATATGGTTATGCTCTAGCTCACCTGGGATGCTCCGCCTGGTAGACATTGCTACACCGCTCGACGTACTCGTTGCCTCCATGAATCCCCTGATGGCTACCCAATTTTGGAGCGCTGCCTTTCTGTTCACCATTGGTCTTGGTCAACTTACTGTCGTCGTCGTCGTCTTCGTCGTCTTCTTCGTCAGAGGTAACCATTAGGTAAACAGAGTATTGTTTCTGAAGACCATCCGTGCCAGATCCCGCCCTTAATCGACTCTTCTGTTCCCGATCGCCCTTCTCATGCTCCTTGGCCTCACACATGTGAGCCACCAGTTGCATCAGCGAGTGCCACATGGGATTGTCATCCAGGCCCTTGATTTTTTCTTTCCGCAGCAGCTCGTTGATGTTCATTTTCCGCGATCCTTTGCTAGTTGCTGAGGTGGTCGATGTGGCTTTCTGCGGACCAGGCTTTAGATAGTTCTTCAGAGGATCGGGCCCAGTATTCGTGGCCTTGTCGCTCAAGGAAGTGCGACTTTGGTAAGGCGGTTTCGACTGATTCTGCTCTGTCGTCAGGGTAATTGTGCTGCTATCGTTTTCCAACTCCAATCTTTTGGAAAAGCGATCAAACAAGCCCGGCGATGATGGCAACTCCAACTTTTCCGGTTTCGCTTTGAGTTCTGTTCCCTCATAGGAAAAGTTCTTCGAATATGGTTTGTCATTTCCTTGATTAATTGGTTTGATTTCAGCATTGGCTGCCGCAAACATGGGAGTTTCCGTATCTGAATCGCAGCTAAAACCTTTCATAAAACGGTCTGCTAATTTCCCAAAATTGAAGCTCTCACATGTATTTGGTTCCAGATGGGTTTTCTGATTTTGTGGCTGCTTTCTTGAATCATTTTGGTGCTGTAGACTGCTTTGATGCACTTGCTTCAATTGCTCTTTTTGATTCTGCATGGACTCACGCTGTTTGAGTAGCTCATGTTGCAGTTGCAAGTGCTGTAGTTGCTGGCGCTCTTTTCTCAGTGTATTCAGTTTGGATCGCTTATTTGGCTTCGGTGGAACGACGGGCTTAAGTTTGATTTGCTCCACTATGGGTTTTCGGTATGAAGAAGGGGTGTCACTCGTGTTCCTGATTGTCACTTTCTTCGTTTTCGGGGGACTGACGGTATGGCAATCACCTTTGAACTGCTGACCAGCTCCAGCTCTTGGAGAATTCTTCAAAATACCAACTGGTGCTGGCTTCGGTTGCTGCTGCAGCAGAAGTTGCTTGTGCTGCTGCTGCACTTGATGTTGCTGCTGTTGCCAGTGCAAAGCACTAGCTGCCCCCGGATAATGGAACAAATGGCCTTGATTCAAATGAAGATGTGGCTGCTGCGGCGTGGATGCAACTCCTACTGCTGGAACCCCATCGTAGCACTGGTTTTGACAAGCAGCCAGGATGCAACCTGGCGTCAGTAGCGCTACCTTGGAAGCGCTTCGACTTGGACAGGATGCATTTCCGGCGCTGGGATGGCCCCTTTGAAATTGCAGTCCGTAGTTTGGGATGAAGCTCTGAATCGGAGCGGTTTCTCGAGGGGATCTCATCAGCTGACGGCGCAGGCGACTCAATTTCCGGCTACTGACTTCCGGCGGAGCTATCACCGCCATTCGCGGCATGGCGCCACCCATTTTGTTGCACACGGAATGCCAATACTCTGGCATTGCGGCAACCAATGGACCGCGGGCGAATTGCTGCTGCTGCCACAACTGCTGATAGGCATTCATCGAAGCCTGCTTGGCCGAATTACTCAGAATCCTGCTCCGAACCATGGTGGAATCGATGGATTCTTATTAATTCGCTGGAGGTTTCGTCCTTCGACTGCTGGCTCTGAATGTTTCCGCTGGGTTGCTTTGCTGTTGAATAAATGTTTTCTTTTTTTCTGGTTTATGTGGGGCTTGTGGGTTCATTGAAAATTTTGGATGCACTTTTCGTGCCATATCTGTTATTGGAAAACCCCTGACAAATGGTACACGGCCTGCCAAGAAATGTTTGCTCTTATAAAAAAAATTATTGGCTCTCATCATTATTTGCCATATTTTTTCAATTTTTTTCGAATATTTTTTAGTTTATCAGAGAACTTGTGGCGAATATTTGTATTATAAGTCTATAGCCTAATGCAATTATTTCTACTTTGAAATAAATTTTTATTTTATAACAAATTAAATTTTATGTTTTTGTTACTTTTATGTTTCAATTTTATGTTTAATTTTTTATCACATTCAATTAATATTTAAGAATCTTTCGTCATCAATGCATTTTTAAAACTTGCTTTTCGAATTAATTTAAACACTTGTTACTGACATATGTATACCTCAGTTTCTCGCAGTGATGCATAAGCTTTGAAATGACGTCACGCGACTCCTAGTGCGTAACTTCCGGTCGCTTCGTTTGGTCCTTTCGCTCATTCTTTCTCTCTCTCCACCTACGCAATTTCAGTCTTAGTGGTGTAGTGAAATTCCCGGCTCCATTTTCATTCAGGTGGCTGCTGGTGGAAAGTTGAATCAACGGCCAGCTGGAAGGCATTCATTCATGGACGGGCTCCTTCCAGGATGCCATTTAGTTTGGTGCGTATTCCAGGCTGCGCAGGAAGGAGAAATTACCGTTACAAAAGCAAGCGTCGAAAAGGACTTTCCTGAACCGACAATGAAATCAGCTTATTTGATTTCCAAGTCTCAAGTGAACAGAATCCAGTTATATATTTTCCATAGATTTTTTTAGTTTTATTCCTAAAGAAAAATGGTCTCCTTTGGCAGTGTGGCAAAACTTTTGAGTAGCTTCGAGTGCTGTGCAAGCTCGTGGGTCAAAGCCGTAAATCCGGGATGGTACGAGGCTCGTGAGATTCCAAAGACCATCCTGATCCAGAAAGTGCGACAGGTGCCAGAGAACACCAGGGTAATTCGTCAGCGACCCCAAACAGCAAAGCCGCCTAAAAAGGCCCCCCATCAGAGGCGCCAACTACATCTCTAAGCGCCAAGGAGATAGGGACATAGTGACTCATTGGTGAGTATTTTGCTAAAACCATTGCTTTCGTTCTGGCCATAAAACCCTTTAATATAATGCGCGCCTGAAAGTATGCTTAGAAATCAAGCCCGTACTTAACGGAACTTTTAAATTTTTAACTTTAACATATATAAAGTTGTGGAAAAAACTGCAAGAGCTTGTTAACTATTTTATAATTAAAACTAATGCTTAGTTCTGTTTGTACTTCAGCAGACTCTTGAATTTTTTTAATGCACCACACGCTTTTATACTTATAATCTTAAGGTGCATAACATGCTTTGAAAAACATGAATAGGCACTACCGGCTACGAAATTTTGAGATGTATATTTTTCCTTTACAGATTTAAATGTTTTAATCGAATGCTGATGGTATAGGTAAATATATAACGAATTTAAATCGGCTGGCAGTGTTGGCTAACAACCGCATTCTCCCACAGAGTTGTCTCGCAGCCGTCATCGATTTCAGCATTTTGCCTGCTGTGGCGTCACGGCCACACTGAGTCGGTGCCGAGTTTTTGCTTCGCGAGCAGGTGGTGTTGTCCAATCAGAATCGCCGTCGACGGCACGATTAACATAAGAAAGAAAAAAAATTCCAATAGAACAGCCGAGGGCGCTTATTTATGTGTGTTCATGTTTAATGTTAAATGCAAAATTACGCGTCGCACGCTGCGCCCACGCTAATTCGAGTCCGCATCCGATTGTTCAGTGCAAACACACACACCAACCAAGTGAATATAATATGTAAGCGAAAGGCAAGAAGCCAACAACAAAGCGCCAGTGATAAGCGCAATAATATAAATGCAATATACATATGTAGTATAAATTCAACGTGAAAAGAAATCTCGGCAGGCGAAAAAATAAAATAAAAGCGCAGGCAGCGACAAATGGAAATCAAGTAAAATGAAGAAGAGCGGAGAGATAGAAATCGTAATGTGTAAGCGGGACCAGAGCGTATGAAAAAATCGAAAAAAAGAAAAACAACGTCGGAGCGAAGATTAAATAAATTTACAAGTGTGTTTTGTATTTGAGCAGCTTTTGTGAGTGTTATTGTTGTTGCTGTTTTTGTTTTTGCGGAGGCTGAAAGAAAAGCGGAATAACAACAACACAGCAGCAGCAGCCGCAGCAGCGCTGTTGCATGTGTGTGCGTGTGTGTGCGGTGTGAGCAACTATTTTCAGTTATGAGCGCGTGACACGATCTGCGCTTCCACGATCCAACAACATGGAGTGCAATAAACGTGCTCGTGACCCACGCGACCATCTCCAACGGCCACCGAGATGCGGAAGCTAAAAAACATATTCATGAATGGCAATTATGTGACGTGCGCTGCGGCAAGTTTTACCTTCGATTCCGAGTCGTGGAAAAAGGAAAACAAAAAAAATACGCGTACGATTTTCCACTTTGGAAGTCGTGACGTTTTCCCATGCATAACGGTGTGAGCGCGTACGAGTGGATGTGTGTGCATGTGTGTGTTTGTATGCTTGTGGTGGGGACCCTCTTTCTCACTCACTCGCTCGCCTTCCTATGTATGTGTGTGCGTGCGTACGTCATAGCAACTCCGGTAAAACGCAAATAAGGGGCAGCGAAAAGCCAATTGCCGTTGAGTGGTCTAATTGGACGCCTTGCGTATGAGTTGTTTGTACTATTTACCATTTGGCGACCCGTTATCAATTGCAGGTGCTTTCTCCTGTAAACAGTGTGTGGGAGCAAGTGTGTGTGTGTGCGTGAGTGCGTGCGACCTCGACAAATTCTTTTTCTTGATTTTGTCTTTACACGTGCATATGTATACATATGTATGCAATTGCACAGAAAGGAAAGAAGTTAAGGTTCTTGAATAAAATATTGTTTCATCAATTAAAACATTTATCTTTTGGATGTGACAATACAAAAAACACGGAATATTCAATATGCTTATTGTTCACTGGTTCACTGCCTAATGATATTTACCATTCAAAAGGAATGAGTACGTTAGATATATTTTAGGTATTTAAATTAACCCGACAAACTCTAAAAATGTTTTAAATTGTTGTCTTTTTAGTGGAATAAAATGTCGTGGTATTTCTTAGAATATAAAGATAGTTGGCATTTTTCTGAAGTTACACAAATATATTTGCAATTCATGGACCAAAACAAATTTTCTCTTTGTGTATGCCCCAGTAATTGTAATTTTCATATGGGTTGCGGTAGTTTTCCTGTGAAATTCCTTGACTCCTTCGAGTCCCAAGCCCCCACACACATACACAAGCTGTTGCTGCGCCCCCGCTCACGCACACACATGCAAATGTGCGCCCTGATGGTGCCTTCTCCCTCTTGTCTTTGTCAGTGGATGTGGATGGAGAACCCACGATTGTCTCTCCTCTCGCGTATTTGCTTTGCTCCATCGCCCTATCCCTTTTCCTCTGTCCCACTACCCACCGTTCGCCGCCCCACTCCCACTCGCCCCCTCTCTTTCCGTCTGCTTTTCTGTCTGGCTTTGGCTGCTGTGTAAGTCCAAGTTCTCTAGTTGTTGTTGCTTCTGCCTTTGGGTTTTCGGCTCTCTTTAGCTTTCGGCTTGTTGCCTCATTTATTTTACTTGTCGTTTCTTTTCGGTCTTTCGCTTGCCGTTGTTTTTATGTTTTTTAATCATTTTCGTCTCTCCGATTTGGTAAAAAAGAGCTAAAACAACTGCTAGTTATCAGCTAAATTGGCCAGATATGTACATAGGTTGAAGCAGTTTTAAAACAGTTTTCTTAATGTTAGGATTCTCTATATTTATACGAGTATAAGGATATAATCAGCGTATTATACCTTGTAATATATTTAAATCATATAGTTTTGAGATATTTATGTTTACTTGTATTACTGTAACTGAAGACTCAAATTTGATTTTGTTTTGAAATCAATCCAATATCAATCAATGAAAATCAATCAAATAATCTGATTATTTTTGAACATAAATATAAATTAGTCAAAAGTTCGGATCATGTTCAAATTCCCCTATGTTAACTAGGATTTAATAAAACAAAATATGCACTTAAACATTTACATACAGTACCAAATACTTAAATAATAAATTAATTAAAAATAATAGTTAATAGTGTACAGAACGATATGTAAACTATACATGATTAAAGTGCATTCGTTACTCCTCTTTGAGTACACGGTGCGATACCTAGTGGATTTTCAGCACCTTTGACCCGGTGACGTCTTTTGCATCCCCACCACATAGTGCTGCCTGCGTGCTGTGTCTCCCTCTTGCAGTCGCTCCCTCTCGCTCTGCGCTGGAAGTGTGTGTGTGGCTGGCTGGAAGCGAGGTCGCAGCATCTCCGGCTTCTTCCAGTCTGGAAGTTCATTCAGTTTTGACTTTTGACTCCGTGCACTTCGGACTCCGGTATGCCATTCGCTTGCTAATTTCCCAAAAATTCTACAACTGTTTTGTGTCTTTCCAATGATAAATGCAAATAAACAATAGAACCTTTCAGAAATGTGAGAAAATCGGTGGGAGCGAGCGAGGGAGCGAGAGGGCGCGAGGTGTCCAGCTGCCGCGGCTCTTTTCACACCCGCGAAATATCACGAGAAAGTTTTGGGGGAAAACAATTTGTTTGGATTATGCGAGTGTGGGGCGAGTGTTGGTTGGGTGGGTTAATGTTTGATCATCGTCGTCGCCGCCTGCTTCCTCTTCTTCGCACACACTCTGCTCTAAATTGATTTCAATGAGCTTTTTGACGACTCCCCTCTCGTTCCCCCACCGCCATCCCCGTCTCTTTCGCTTCACGATTATGTGCGAATGTGGCTGTGCAAGTGCCCGGTTTTCGTACGACCTTGATGCTGTACATTAACCCATTGAGAGCCCCTATTACTTGCTGTCTCTTTCGCGCGATCAGCTTACAAAAACGAAAAAAAAAAAGTACAGACATGGGCCCTGTTTTCTTTTTTTATCATGGTCTTAACGCGCTTCGTTTTCTTAACGTTACACTGAGCGTGAAATGTTAACACTGTTACTGCCAAGACTACAAGATCTACAAGATACTTTCCTAAATTCAACTAAACATTTTTAAAAAATCCGAATACAAAAAAAATATAGAACCATGCAATAGATTACCGAAATTTAATTTGGTATTTAGAATATGCGAGAAAAAAATGATGCATTTGGAAAGATATATTTAAGTTATTTCTTGAGATGTATTAAGCATAACAAAAGATTGGGAAACTAATTTATGCTTTGTTTCAAAAGTTCCGTTTTTTATGGACCCAAAGAACCAAAAATGTTATCACTATGTTTATTTGAAAGCTTAACTAATAAAATAAAATAAAAGCATTCCCAACGTTTGGAAATCAAAGTCCAGAAAGCAGTTATAGCTGCAAAAAAATTCATGTGCCTTTTGTTTTCCTTGAGATTTCTGCTCGAATAGATAACACTGCTCTCTGTTTTCATTAGTTTATTTCTTTTGCTCTTTTTGCTATCTTTGGTGTTTGTTTTGCTCATTAAACCACACGCACACATGCGCCACGCCCACCCGCGATAAAGAAAAATAGAAATGAAAAACCAAGGTCAAAGACTAGACACAGTGAAATAGCCATTTAATAATTTTCCTTCTTTTCCCTCAGGGCGGTGACAAGAAGTGCAAAATCGAAATGTAAAAAGTAATTTGCGTTCGCACAAAGAGCCATTAAATCGAGACTTGAAGGCGTTCGTAAAACCAACAAATACCGAGAACTAATAAAGCGTTCGAGGAAGTGTCGCTTCAAAAATTCAACAAAAAAAAAGGAATAATAAAAAATCGGAAGAATAAAGTGCGCATTGGAGTTGCCAGGTGGGCATGGCCCACTGCCCGCCGAGAATCCGCTGGAAAGTCCGAACGAGAAGCTGCCATTGACCTCTTAATCGAGTTAAGTGCATACTTTGGAGTCCGCAAGTTCTACAAATCCCACATAATCCCACTGTTGCTGGCGGCGGCTCCCCCGTCTCCAATCTCCCGGATCCCCACACGGACCACCAGCCCGCATCCCAATTCTCAGTTCCCAGTTCTCAATTCTCCGGTTCACCAGTCTCCGGTTTGTTAGTCTCGCCGCCAGCAAATGAACTCTCGCGTTCGCGTTTGAACTGCGCGACAAAAGAAAATGCATTTTAAGTGAATTTCCTGTGCGCGAAAAGCCAATTACGCATCCGATATCCATCCGCACTGTGCACTGAAGCCCCATCCTCCTACGGCAAAACAAAAAAATAAAAGGAAAGGGAATAAACCGACGCAGCTGCAATGGCCACCACACCAACGGCTGGGCCAGCAGCAGCTCCTCCAACGTCCTCAACGCCGCAGAACTACAAGGTGCCATCGACCAGCAAGATATCCGTGGACAAGCTGCTCCGAGTCGGCTACTATGAGCTGGAGAAGACCATCGGCAAGGGCAACTTTGCCGTGGTCAAGCTGGCCACCAACATTGTGACCAAGACGAAGGTGAGCAATCCCAATCCCATCAACAACTCCCGACCCAATTCCCTCAATTAACGCCTCTGTTAGAAGATGGCTTATGCCCTGTAAAGATGAAAGTAATGGAATAATGTATCTATAAAGTTCAACTTGGGTGCATTAGATACATATACCTACTGTTCCCAGTTCCGGGATTATGAGGCTTTAGAAAAATGCAGTGAGAAGTTTTGGTTACTTAAGGTCAAGTGTCAGTTCATCTTGGAAGCCTCTCGAATAAATCGAATTTGTAACGAATTCTTCTGATTGATTGATTCCCATTCTGTATAATCTAAATTATGTAAATGTTTGTGAAAATACAATATTTTTAACAACACTTTGTAGTAGCTTTATAGTAGTTTTATAGTAGTATGTAAATTGAACGCATCAGCATATTCATACGCGTTTTTTGCGCATTTGAGCTGGTCGAATTGATTTTAGTTGTTGTTCTCTGATGATTTTGTTTATTGCCGCGTCAATATGCGTACAATAATTATTTACACAACTTATTGACAATCAGGAGTTTCGTTTCGTTTCGATTCGTTTTCGGCATCTCGGTCTTTCGGATTCTGAATCGCATGCTTGGCTTTTTGTTTGCCTTCCATTGACAATGGGCGGGAAAGGGGTGAATGTGAATCCGGAGGTGGAAATCGGTAGATGCTAATTGAATCGCATTTGTAAAGCGCCTGAAGCGTGTGAGTGTTTTTTTTATTACCTTTCTGCCATGCGAGTGTGTGTCCGTGTGAACCTTATGAGGAAGTAATTTGATTTTGTCTCTTGTTTTTTCGATGATACATGCATTTGTTTTCGTTTTTTCCCTCCCTCCCTCAGAATTTCCTGCTATTAAGTCAGCTGAAGTTGATGAGCCGGCTAAATCACAATTAAGCGTCTTCTCTTACGCGGTTCATCTAAGCGATTGACTCACCAGCACTTTTGCAACTTTTTTATCAGCCATTGTGGGTGGAATCATCCGACGAAGTGCTAACTCAACAGGAACAGCTGTGACACTTGTTAATTGGGATTGTCAAGCGAAATACTACAAATACAGCAATGAAAACAGAACCGGACACAAAAAAGCATGCAAATTTATAGAGCAAACAATCAATTTTTGCATAATTGACAGCGTTGAGGAATTTGTGATGAGCACGTGCCTCTGGCGAAATTGATCGTTATAGTATAGTATGACTGAATGATTAATGCTGGGACATTTAATGGGTTTGAACTAACAATTGTACAACTAATGGTTATCTATAACTGGTAGGGTAATCCCTTTTGATAGGAACAGTTTCGTATGTCCAATTATCGTTCAATTTGATCCTAAAATGCCATATTTCTTGAAACAGTCGGTCAGTGGCACTTCAAAGCAGATAAACAAATCGAATCAGCTTCCCTCGATCTTCCGAATTGTTTGCTGACTGTAACACAATTTAGTTTCCCTTGATAAGAACACAGCTGTTCAACAACTTCAAGGTCCAATGGTGTCCACTTATCTTATATGTACTCACTCTATATAGTATATCTATATCTGTTGGTCAAACATGAGTACGTTAGAATCTGAATACAAATGAATATGAGTACGTACATATGTGTATTCGCTTATAGCCAGTGGCTTATCTCCCTTAAGCGCATTTTGCCAATTCCCTATTATCAATGGAAAATGGCAAAAGTTCACTTGTACACACAAATTTGGGTGCACTTCGAACACATGCGAACATACAAAAGTAAATAACTCGTATTATGATTATTTGTTTAAACCTAAGGAACCGCAGAAACATCGATAAGAAAGTGTGCGATACGTACTTTGATCAGAGTATCGTAAAAGCGAAGCATAACCTAGTTTACATGGTTTTCCCTACTGAAAATCTTGTAGAAATGGCTATGAAATGAACTGTTTTATCATTTCTTAGCCTATATAAATAGTATTAATTGATTTCTTTCTTTGTTTAGAGTTCTACGCTCTCTTGATCGCTTTCATGTGCTGTTTAAATTGAATTTCAGTTTACTTTCTTTGTGTGCGGAATGTGTTCGCACTCAATTGGCAAGTTTTAGTTTAATTGAATTTTTCTGTAGCTGCCTTGGCAACTGTTTTAATGCTCCAATTGATGCAATTAAGCACCAGCCATGCAGCCTAGACATTTTATATTCCTCTCGCGTTTCTCACGTAGAGAAAAGCAGGGGAACTTTCTGTTCTTAAAGGCTAACTCTTAAAACTGATATATGAATAAAAACCAGGGGAATACTATAATTAAGCTTTTATTCCATAAAAATGAAACAATATATAATGAGAAAGATAATATTAATTCAAAAATTCCTCGTTATGTATTTTTAACCAGATTTTTAAGTTTTCAAAACTAGAACAAATTGTTTTATTTTATTTTGTATAACTTAGGTAGATAGCCGAATTACAAATGTGCCTTTGAGCTGATTAAAAGTATAATATATTTCAAAAGCGTAGTTAAATTGCTGAGATAACAGAGATCTGCGACTTTCTTCGAACTTTTCTCTCTGTGCAGCCCTACGCTCGTCCCGTCTCTTTCTGCTCAATTCACACCGTCTCGCTCACATTTGTTGATTGATCTTTCGCTATGGGCAAATATTTAAGCTGCCGTCTGAGCGTTGCCTTTTGGCCAGCAGACCGAAAACATGTTTGAACATCTAACGCGCGTCAGACCGAAAACGAACAGGTGCAAGCGGGACGGAGCTGGCGAGCGAGCGAGATGGGTGGCTGAAATCGTTTAACAATTTTTATTTACCTTTTTATTAACAATATCGCGGCTTTTTGGAGCTCGCACTTGTTGTGTCTGCGGTTTCTATCATATTCTTCGTATGTGTGTTTACAAAACCCCAAAAATTATGCGCACTAAATCTAAGGTCGACCTCTTGCTTTTCCCTACCATTTTCACGTTCTTATTTGTATGGCTCTGATAGTAATAAAACTATGCTGGCTGCCTTCCTCTATCTGCAGCAGAAAACTACCACCCATACATGGGCATTCCAATGATAAGCACAAATGTTATCAGTGGAGTTGCTTTTTCTGCTGATTTCTTCTCCACAATGTTTTTTTTAATCGCAAGAAGACTTAATTCGCAAATTCAGTCACGTGCGTTCGCCCTCTCACTCGCACCTCCACACCCACAGCGAAGTGGGTGGCGGCTGGCGGGAGGGAGGGAGACGGAAGACAAACAGCACGCGCCAAGTTAATGCTGCTCAATTCGACTTTCCAGGCGATAGCAAAACAAATAATAAATCAACATAAACTCATGTGCTTCCTCCGCACAAACAGTCAAATTTCCATAGTAAGCACTTTTGTAATTCCTGCAATTTGAACCGTACATAAAAAGACGTAATTCAAATATAAATGAGTTTACTTAATTTACAGTAGAGCTTTCATAAAGGGAACTTCACTGTATAACATCTATACCTTCTTGATTGATTGTAGGATGTTGATTTATACATATATAAAAAAGCAAAACTTTGATAATTCTGCAAGCGGAATCCTATTAAATTTCATTATTTAAGTGTCTTTATGAATTATTATTATTATTATTATATGAATCACAGAAACATTCTTCATAATACGTATAACTAGCATCCCCTTGCCTCTTGTTTATTTAAGTTATACTTAAGGAAGGCCCACTGTATTTCCTTACAATATTTTTGGTAGTCGGTTGAAACTTGATTAGCGCGCCAAACATTTGATCGCCAGTTGCGGTTGCCAGCAGTAGTGATTAAGAATTAGTTAACCACGGAATTGGTCCTCAAGCCACGACCCCGCTTGCCCCATTTCCATGGGCAATTAAGTAGGCCTTGACATGGAAACAGTAATTGTACTAATCGATTTTCCATTTTCACTGAAAGTTGCCGCCACCGGTTGGAAAATTGTTAAATCCAGCCAAGCCAAATAAAGTTTACTGACCCCTTACAGAAGCATAGAATAGTTGCCACAGCAGCCGGAAAAGCGGTGGGGAGGGGAGCGGTGGGAGCGAAGGAGGTCGCATATCGATTAAACACGTGGAACGAGTGGGTGGGTGGGCGTGCTGGCAACACATTTGATTACCGCGTGTAAATAACAACAACCCGACGAGCGTTGCAGAAGTTGCAAGGACTCTTTCCTTGGATGTTGTGCAACAATCACATGCTACCGAAGCCCCAATGGAAAGTCCAAAAGACGAGGAACAAAAGCCAACGGCTACAAAGGCTCAACCGCCGGAAAAACCCACTCGCAAGCGGAATCAAGTTAAAATTCAGCCCAGGATCAGGGCCCCAAAACCAACACCCACCGCTGTTCTGTGTGAATTGACTCGCCTGAAGGCCCAGCAAAAATACCTCGAATGCAATCAAGTCAAGCTGAATCCCAATAATTTCATACTCAAAGATGACACGGACACGGACACGGACTCAAAGACGAGACCTTGCGAAGAGCCGGAAACTGGCCAAAATCCACGGCCCACCAGTTCCTCCACTGCAGATCTCATAAGTTTGATCAACGAAATCGAACAGGAAAAACTGGTGCTCAATGAAAAACTGAAGCTATATTGCAGCGAAAAGCGCGGAGAGCTGCAGGATATGTGGCACTATGTGGCCACCATTAAAGAGGACGTCTTTCGGCCAGAACGTCTTAGCCAATATACAGTGAACGCTCTGCGGGAAAGAATCGTTGGCCTAAATGCCCAATTGTACCGCTTGGCTGCTCAGAACTCGAAGGAACTCGAAGAATTGAAGGCGCAGTACGATAAACTGGAAAGCGAAAATAAAATGTTGTGGAAAGGTAGCATGTAGATTAAAACACAGCATCCTTGGATTAGTTCTTATAGTTTTCATAGATAGTAGCTAAAGATGCAAACTAAAGTTAAATAAGTTTAAAAACGGGTCTCACTCAATTGTCATTTATTTCTTTCACTTTGTTCATCACAATCGTCCCAAAAATGTATATTGTACTATAACTTAACAAAGCTTTCAAACCAATAAAGAAATATCTGAAAATCAATTAGTATTGCTTCAAATGACGCTCATAACAACAATGTATCATCCAATCCAATTTAAATGCAAATAATCTATGGTAACATTAGTTACGAAAATGTATTACGGAGCAAATGGTTACCCAGATTGCCATGCACTGCGATTTGCAGACAAATATTTTTGAAATTCTTGACATTGTTTCAGGGCCCTTATTTAATGGGCGACACTCGTAATCAACAACATTTTAGACCTTGCCTTGAGCTAGCCTTTTAAATCAATAGGACCTTTTGATACGACTTTTTTCGCCTTCGGCCGAAGGATTCCCAAACGGAGGCGACACTGGTATTTTCTGCCACAACTGCTATACTCGTACTTGTTGGTGTATTTCTTGTTGCGATTATTTTGAAATGTCTCATTTGCGAGCACGGCTTGAGGTTCATCGCATTCGCCGGCGACCACAGGGAAAGGTCAAACGGCACGTGGCAATGGCATTTCTGTTTTTCCATACTGCTCTCTTCCTCCCCCTCCCCCTCCCCCTGCCCCACCCATTTTGTTTTTCCTTGTTTCCCGTTGTTGGCCGAAGTTCAAACCGGCTCACGTGGCATTGGTGATTTGTAGGACGAGCATTTGTTTCATGCAATTATGTAAAAGTTTGACACTCATCTCGTTTTCGCCCAACGGACATTACGCATACGCCCCATATGCACGGCTGTGAGAACGCTATTGGTCTTTATTATAAACAAATAGTTTGCATTGCTCACTTGCCTCAAGTTCAAAGTCTCTGTCGCGGTGAAATTCTCACAAAGTGTGATTGAATTTCACTTATTGAACGGAATCTGAATCATGATTCCCCGCATTGTGGGCATTGTTTTGCGAAAGATGCTAATATTTTGACAAATTTATCATAAAAAACGGAATATATTAAAGAAATAAGTACTCAGGAAGCAGCAAGAATTCGCTTAAATGTTGGGCAAACAATAACAAAAATGTTTAAACGAAACCGGTGGCGATGATGATGCTTTTGCTCATTGTCGCCGAGCGAGAGGGCAACAGCTGGGGAGAAAGAGACGGTGCGATTGAGTGAGTGTGCGCTCACTTGTGTTGTTAATTATTTAACATTGTGTTAAATTTTTAAAATTTTTCGCGAATACACAAAAGCAAATAAACAGTCAGCAACGGCATTGGCAATGGCAATGTCGTCGTCGTCGTCTGCGAACGCAAGTCGTGAGCAAAGAATGTTTTTGTCTGGTCTGCTGCCATCGCCATCGGCATCGCCAGCTCTCCGCACTCATCATCCATCCATATCGCATACTCACATATCCATAGAGATCCCGAGATCCGAGCACGCGCGCCATGTATGGTGCACATAGTCGCCTGGTAACAGGTACACCTACAGTGGGTTGCCTCTATAAGTACTACCCTACTTACCGATCAAACTTTTGTTATGCATAAAGCCTAAGAGTACAAATTAAATACATATTTCTTTATAATAGCTATAAACTGTCTAAGCGACTATTTTCATATCATATGTAACAAAAAAAACATAAGTTGGTTGACCTTGCCCCTCTTTTTGGAGCATCGCCCCATGGCATATTTATAATATAGTAGTGGAAATATTTCCCATAAGTAACGAAGGCATATTTATAATATAGTAGGGGAAATATTTCCCATTAGTAACGAAGGCATATTTATAATATAGTAGGGGAAATATTTACCATTAGTAACGAAGCAGTTGCAGTTTTTCTGATTCCACTGTTGTGTTAGCCAAGCGAGACACATTTCTTTTGTTTCGCGATCAGCCCACACATCTATCTTGATTTTCGGAAGTCTCTTTTTCTGATTCCCGTACATTTAAAATCACATTTCACCCCCTTTTCTTGCTCCGGCGCAAACGTTCGTTCACCTGGGGCAAACAAACCAGTGAGACGACAAACAGTCGGCGGCGGAGGTTGAGATGTTTTGGGTTTTGGCTAAATTCTTGTTTCTGTTTGCTCGCGACATCTTTTGCAGGTGGCCATCAAGATCATAGACAAAACATGTCTGAACGAGGAGTACCTGAGCAAAACGTTCCGCGAGATAGCGATACTGAAATCGCTGCGGCATCCACACATCACCCGATTGTACGAGGTTATGGAGTCGCAGTCGATGATCTACCTGGTCACCGAGTACGCGCCAAACGGGGAGATCTTCGACCATCTGGTGGCCAATGGCAGGATGAAGGAGCCGGAGGCGGCACGTGTTTTCACCCAACTCGTTTCGGCCGTCCACTACTGCCACCTGCGGGGGGTGGTGCATCGCGATCTCAAGGCCGAGAATGTCCTTCTCGACAAGGACATGAACATCAAGGTATTATATATATACCATATTTTTAGTATTTCGTATTAAGTTTCTTGTTGTGCCCCACAGCTTGCAGACTTTGGCTTCAGTAATTACTATGACGATGGTGCCACATTAAGGACTTGGTGCGGTTCACCGCCCTACGCCGCCCCAGAGGTTTTCCAAGGCTTGGAATACGATGGACCCAAGTCGGATATCTGGAGTCTGGGCGTTGTGCTGTACGCCCTGGTTTGTGGAGCGTTACCCTTCGATGGTAAGACCATCCTGGAGCTGAAAAGTCGCGTGGTGTTGGGCAAGTTTCGCATTCCCTTCTTTATGTCGCAAGGTGAGCTCTAAATAGATGACTGAAAGAACCTATCTGCAAGCAGTAAACGAATTTGTATTACACAGAATGCGAGCAGCTAATCAGGAACATGCTGGTGGTGGAGCCTGATCGACGGTACACCATCAAACAGATCATCAAACACCGCTGGCTCAGCGAGTGGCAGTCAGAGATGCAGGAGGAGGAGCGTTTCGGGGACATGTCCTGTGCACCCGGATCGGGTACAGTGTCCAAATCGGCGTCCTCATCCTCGCTGGGCAGTGCGTCGGACTCACCGCCGCAACTTGACTCTGTGGTGATGACGCATATGCTCCAACTGCCTGGACTGACCGCCGACATGATAGCCCAGTCGGTGCATGAACAGAGATTCGACAACATCTACGCCATTTACAACCTGCTGCATGACAAACTGCAGCAACGGCGACGCGAAAACCAAAGACTGCAGCACCACGCCAGCTTAGCCTACTCCCGATCCCGCAAGACGAGCATCACGACGGGCGTGGTGGATCGCTCGGAGCCCGTCAAGCAGGAATCTCTGGACCGGCTCAGTCCGCTGAGCAATGCCAATGCCACCAGCTCAGCTTTGGGCTTTGGCTGGTCCGATGTCGCCGTGGATCTGGAGAAATATGGTGAATTTGAGCTGGAATGCCTGGCGCGATCAAATGATGTAAGCACACATCTATAAGATTCTCTAAAAATATTTGATAACAACATTGTCTTTTTCCAGCCTCCTGCCAACGCGCAACATTTGAGTGCACATGCTGGTGGAGGCGTCAATGGAGCGAATACCCGACGCCATACGGTGGGTCCCGGAGACGTGGCGCACGAGCAGGCGCTGGCTAATCCCCATGTGCCGCCCATCGACTTCAAGTGCCCACCGCAGTGCAGCGATCCCGCTCAGCCAGTTCCCTACTACCCAGTCAATCTGCCCATGCTGCAGAACCAGCCCCTGCACAACCTCACCATCAAGGACCAGCATCTGCTCAAGCCGCCCGTTGTCATGGGAGCCAGTGAGTCTTTGCCAATCTGACAAAAGTATTGATGCACTACATAAATGTTGCGCTTATTTTGCTAGGCTCATTCGGGCGTCGTGCCTCTGACGGCGGGGCGAATCTTCACATCTACTATCCCGCCACGGGTACCGTTGTGGGTCCAGCTCAGGCTCAGCAAATGGACACGGCCGGTTACTATATCAACCCGAATTGCGGCACAGATCCTTTGGCTGTGCAGGAGTTGTCGCCGCTCAACGAACAGTCAGTGGCGCAGATGCAGTGCTGCCAGGAGAATGCCACCGGTGAATGCAACGAGGAGCTGCAAAGGTTGACTTGCGTCTACATTTCCCTTTTGAGAGCATGATAACATTCCCCTTCCTTGTAGCTATATGCAAAAGCGAGGAGGCACCCAGCGCCATACGGTGGGCTGCACGGAGGATCTCTCCGTAGCACATGGATCCGGAGCGGGATCACAGTCCCAGGCGCCAACTACCTCCTCCAATATGCGGCAGCGGCGAACAGGACTGCTCACGGTCACCGAAAGGCCGCCAGGTGCGTTAGGGGACTAACTAAATTTATTTTAAAATTTCCGATGAATGAAACATGAAATCGCCTTGTTTTGAATCATTGCGAACATGTAAAATATGAGTTAATTCAAGATGTCATTAAATAGTACTTGTAATAGGCTTTTAAATCTTATTTAGGAAGATTGAGAATATATTTAAATTCGGTTTAAATTTTTAAACTGCTTAATTGTTGTAGCTGCATGGTGCAAATAGCTTGAAATCGGTGATATAGTGTATTATTAAGTGTATTAGTGATCACTTTTTCATTTTGTATTTATTTATTGTATTTAATTATAATTTGATTACTGTATTAATCTGATGGTTTGCCTTTTTAAACTTTCGTTTTATGTAAACATTTTTGGTTTATTGCAATTGATAATTTTGCATTGCCCGCTACTGCACAACAACCACAACAACAACAACAACCGCTACCGCTCCTGATCTCGCTGCTTAAAAATCCCCTCCACCAAATCCGCCCAAACGATAGTGATTCCACCCGAGTTAATTCGCGAGGTTGAGTCTCGCATGAACCGCGACTATCTGCCTCCCACCCTGAAATCTCTAAGTCAATCGCCCCCCAATGGCCCCTACCCGGTGGGCGTGGCCCTGCCCATGGGCATGTCGAAGGGCCTGTCGCCGCCCCACTCGCTGCCCCTGGTAGCGGCCGCAGGTGGTTCCGTGCCCCTGGTGGCGCCCAACAATCGGCGCATCCATCGGGTGATCCACTCGAAGTTGCCCACCGTCCAGGAGGGTGGTAAGTCCTGATTTTTTTTGTTG